CAAATTTTGAGCTATCTACATAATTTAGTTTATGTCTGACAACCACTGAAGCACACAACTTCCTGATTTTTAACGAAAATTAAAAAAAGGAATTTGGTGCGCCGATTCAGCATACTTTTTGCGTATGAAAACATCAATGAAACCAAGAAAAAACTTGAGGACTCAATCTCAATGGTTAAGAAGTGGTTTACTGAATTCTGTTGTGGCCGTACTAGCACAAATGACACTGAAAGGTCAAGTCTGCTGTACCCTCAAGACAATGCACGGGTGCACACGTGAGTAGTCATTATGACAAAAATCCATAGAATGGTCTACGAACTGCACCATATTCTCCAGATTTGGCTTCCTGCAAGAGGACTGCTCATTCAGCCAAAAGTGTCCGCCAGGTGCATGCGAAAACTACTCGCTTTGTGACGTCATTGTAGCCCTTGTCATGGTTATTAGTCCTTATCCGGCAACCAATAATACACACACGTTCATTATTGGTTACCGAATACAAAAGTTCATTACCGTTCATTATTTAGTTTATTTATTTAAACACCTTATATGTATGCAGTATAGAAAATTAACTGTATAAATCGTATTAAATACTCGGATAATGCATTTTTAAGAACAGCAGGTCCCAGCATCACCTTTTGCAAGCATTCTTTTTAGAATACTTCCATATTTTGCTTTAAAATAATTAATAAACAAAATCGTGGGCACTTAGTATGCACTTTGTCACAATCCACAACACAAAATGAACGTATTTATACACTCTATAGCTCTAAAAACTTTAAAGACACCTTTTTCACATTTAAAATTGACAAAATAATTAACTCAAAATTCCTCCGCTGTTATCATAGTTTATCAAGTTTACCATAGGCAACTAATAAGTTATCAAAGTTTACCATAGGCAACTAATAATACACACTATCATGTCAAGGCCACGAAGGCTTTGACAAGGACTACAATGACGTCACAACTGTCAGGTGAAACGCGGGAAGAGGCGAACGTACGTCTTATGAGGATGAGCAATCCTATTAGTTTACCGTTCTTCGGCTTCCAGCAATTATTTTTTGTTTACAAACTTGAATAAATGGCTGAGACCTTGGTAAAGCCTTAAGCAAACCCATGATACAAGGAGGGTTAGATAAGATATTACGCATGTAGTGGGCGGAGCTTAACAAAAAAATTAGTATCCGGGGTCATGCGCGCTGAGAACCGATTTGCCACCGTCAGGGATCTTTTGAGAGAAGATATTGCGAGTTGGCGGAGTTTAACAGAAAATTACTACCGTCATGACGTCAGTGACGTCATGCGCGCGGAGAACAGATTTGCGACCGCCAAGGAACTTATCTAACCCTTATTGTATCATGAAGCAAACCTAATAATTGGAAGTAACAAAAAAATTGGAAAAATGCTAGACTAAATGTATCGCTAGGAGCTAAAGCTAAAAGGAGACTATGTTAAGAAATAGAAGTAACTTCTCAAACTGCCCTCGTAATAGGTTTTTATGTAAAAAATAACAAATCGGTGTCGTAAAAACGTAAATTTTACGTATACAATAACCTCGGTAACAGCCAGAGAATATCCAAATACGTGAGGTAATCAGAAAATGAGAACTTTAACCTTACGAAATTCTTTTTTGGTCGACGCTCTGTCACACTTGGAATTGTTAATTTCGAACTGCTTGAAAAACAAAACCATACCTTCCTCGGTACACAGACCGGAAATTAAGATAGCACTCGGTTGTAAAAATCTAATTCCATTAATTATTTGAACAATACCTTTATAAAAATAACATTTCAATCACCAACATTCAGGTTTTTGTTATTTTTCAAACAAAAAATCGTAATGTCTGTCTTATTGACAATGGATCAGCTATCTATAATAATAGAAAGAAAGTAATTCACAATTAGCAAAAAATGACAGTACTCAGTACTAAGAAAATAATAAATTCTCCTCAGAATATATTATACAAATCAACATCAAACCGAGCATCAAACATCAGAAAACTATAGTCTAAGAGCTAGCAACGTTTTCGAGAAAGTATTTTAAGACCCTGGCTCTTTGATATATCTTTTACTATGCTCTCTGGAACAGCATGCGGCCCGTCTGGCGGCCGATACCCGTTGCGTTCACTACTGCGCATCGGAAGAAGGTCCTATATTTTTTATTACTCGTAATTTAGTCCTATAAATTCAAGTATTGAATATAAATCGAACATGTCTCCATAGCGCAGTGCGTAGAGTTTCCGACCACGAACCGATGATTCAGAGTTCGAATCCGGGCCAGGGCAAAAACTTTTTTAATTTGTTTTCGTTTATATCCTGAAAGTAAAGTATTAAATTCTGGTGATTCAAAAAAAAACAAATATTGAATACTTTACTATCAGAATATAAACGAAAATAAAATAAAAAAGTCTTTGCCCTGACCCGGATTCCAACCCTGAATCATCGGTTCGTGGTCGCAAACTCTACGCACTGCGCTATGGAGACATGTTCGATTTATATTCAATACTAGAATTTAAAGAACTAATAAAAATATAGGATCTTCTTTTAATGCGCAGTAGGGAACGCAACGTTTACCGGCAGCCAGACGGGCCGCATGCTGATCTAGAGAGCATAGTAAAAGATATATCAAAGAGCCAGACGTCTTAAAATACTTGTTTTCCGACGTTGCTAGCTCTCGTACTACTATATCAACATGCAAATCAGCACCCAATACGGTTACTAGCATCAGCTAATACAGCCCCGCATCAACCCAAATCATAAACATGTGGAATGTGGAAGCTTCTCATCAATTACCTAAAGGAGTCGATTTGATGACATGTGAAAGAAAATTGAAAAGTTTTCATTTCTTGAGTTTTAAAGCCTTGTGTTAGAAGGATACGAGGTACTCTCATGATGTTCCCTATAAACTGAAAATAAACCAGTTTACCTATATAGCATTTAATACGAATTTTAGTTTGTATTTCCTAAAAAACTTCTACCTGACGGCCAAACTTCTCTACCTGACGATTTGAGGACGTGTTGAAACACGGATTTCAAAATGCTCTTGTCGCTTTTCGACCAAATTTAGACGGACCGAGATCTCAAGGTTTAGTTTAGAAAACAGGCTAGATCGTTTAATAATAAATACGGTTCTTAGAAATCTAGTTTTATGTTATATTAACTACAGTATGTCCACGGATTGTCTTTACAAGAGGAAAAACTTTTTTATTATTGATATTTTGAGAATGTATTTTTCAGTACGAAGTTTTTGTATTATCATAGAAACGCGTTTTTATTTTTAGGAATTAGCCCGTGGTTACATTGGATGCGTGTCCGTGCGTTTTTTTGGTCGTACGTGCACGGACGTGCACGCAGCAAAAAACAAACAAATGCTATCTACGCAGGCGGTTACATTGCATCGGAGTTTGCGCGTCCGTGCACTACGGTTCCCAAACCAAACCAGGAATCAGAAAGTTTGTCCCGGCGAAAGTTTTGCCTTGGCCGGGACCTGGAAACTAAAAAAGTGTGTACTACACACATAATATATTTTAATTTCTAATATTTAATGTTTTGTTTCAATTATTTAAAAGCTTAAAAATAATTGTCCCGGAATCGCCGATGCTCAAGTTGGGAACCCTACCGTGCACGTACGTTAATTTCCGTTGGTCGGATGCAAACAAACTGGTTTGTTTTTTAATACGTGCACGTCAGAGCGTTCAAATTTTTCTTCTCTGATCCCAATACATTCCCGAAAAATTTGAATATTTTTGAATACTATAAGTTTAATTTTATTTGGGATATATTAATGTTGATGGAGACCTCCTAAAATATTCAAAAAATTTGACCGGTTGCTGTTTTAATTCAAGAAATGTTTTACATATTTTCTTCTCCTCTTCTTGCATATATGTAAATAATAATAATTTTCTTCTTTTCATGAGTAGTTATTTTAACATTATATCCTCACACAGCATCAAAGCAGTGGCACTTGTTTTGACAAATTCGACACACAGGACACCATGAACGCGCATCTAATGTAACCACTAAAATAAAATAGTCGTACGAGTAAATCAGTCAGAGCTCGCACGTATAAAAAAACGCACGGACCCGCGTCAAATGTAACCGCGGGCTTAGCAAAAATTCAATAATATTTTCATGTTTTTTTATTTACTCTAAAACAGTATGAAAACTTAATAAAAAGTATGAACGGGACTAACCATTTTAGAACAAGCAAATTTTTTTATGAAGAATGCATTTTTCTCAAAATATCTTTTTCTTCCTTCTTCATACTAGGCGAATCGCCTGTTTGGTTTCGTCGTCTCTACCGGTTAGACTGACAAATTGTCGATCCATCGTTTTCGTGGACGTCCTAAGCTTCTGCGACCTAGCGGTGATTTATCGCGTGCAACTCCCACTATCCTTCTGTGGTCCATTCTGCTGATATGCTCGTTTCATTCTTTCTTTCTGCTGAGTACCCACTCATTTACATTTTCCATCTTGCATGCTCTTCTTATGCTCTCATTTCTCTCCCTGTCCAGAAGCGTTTTTCCAGCTATTCTGCGTAGTACTCTCAAAATATCAATAATAAAAAATGTGTTCCTCTTGTGAAGACAATCTGGGGACTTTAGGAAATAACGGCGAATGCAGATTCAGTGGGAAAAAGTTCGGATTTTCACGGGGATTTTAGCAGGACCCTGTTTTCCTCAGTAGATTGAAGCTAAGAAACAACGGCGAATGTAGATTTTGTGGGGAAAATAAGAAAACACCAGAACACCTTATCACTGAGTGCGCCGAAACGATAACCATTCGTGCCATGAACTTTGGTACGACTGATATTGGAGATGGACGACTGACCTCTGTAAAACCGTCTCAGAAACTGCCTTTTGTCAAAGCCCTGAGACTGTAAGATGAGTTATATCTCAAGAAAGGGAGATAATAGATACATAAGGTCGCGTTAATTACTCAACACTCAATACTCAATACAATCATCGACGATATCGCGACTAGAAAGAAGCAAAGCGAACTCACCAAACAACTCCAAAGGCTCCGTAGCCGATCGGCCTGTCCGGTTGTACCTGTTCCTGGGTGTGTGCCGGAGCGGCCGCGTGCTGCGGATGATAGTAGGGCTGGGCGGCGGCGTGCAGGCCCCCCTGCTGGCCCCCGGTGGCGGCAGCGGCGCTCGCCGCCGGTCCCGCCGCCGCCGTACCCTGCATCAGGCTCATCGACACGGACATGGGCAACCTCGAGCTGTTGAAACTTGGCCCCGCTACAGCCATGTAATTGGGACCCGCGCGGGGCTAATGATAGGGCTGATAACGATCCACGCCGCGTCTCGGAAACATCAGCGACTCGCTACTGATGCGGTGGTCGGCGGCAACCCTGCAAAGTTCTCCTGAAAGAAAAAAAAATATTATCAATAGGCTAAATGAGGCCATTATTGGGGGTGCGGGTATTATACTGAGGGGTTCTTAAATTCATCAGAATGCTTTCCCGTGGCCGGATTATTTCGCGGCAGGTCTTATCGCTTTGTGAACCTGCGCCATTGAAGCAGGTAGTGGCCAATTAATAACTGCTTGCAGGAAGCGGGGATGTCATTTGGCATCATGAAGCTATCCCGTGGGGATCTATTATGTTTTTTTTTATTAGCTAGTGCTAATGTTCATATTAACCTAATACAAAAAAAGTACTACTCGCGTTCATGAAACTAATGGGTCTCTAAACTCATAGCTCATCCTCAAAAATTTTACGAATATTTCCGCATGGAGAAAGAAATGTTGAAGTATATTTTCAAAATTAAAAACCATTGAAAAAAATGCTACAATTTTCAAAATATATAGATGTACATAAGATAGTTATGATTAAAATCAATTAATTTTTAATAATTATGTAAGTAAATAGCTTGAATTGGTCTAAAGCATAGCCTTTATTGAAAGTTTAGAAATGAGCCGAGCAGGGTAGATTAAGTTTGGGGAAGCGAGGGAGTTGAATTGGTTTCAAAAGGAGTAGCTGTGATAAAATTGTTGAGCGGATGAAGTGGGTAAGCGGCAAAAAGAAACAATAATTCAATCCAGTAAAACAGGGTTAAAGCCTCGGTAAAAGCAGTTTAAGCCGGTTGAAGCTGGCTGACTGGTGCACTATGACCACGCGCATACAGTTGTTCCTCTATTATTCATCGCTAGTCTGTCGCGATAAAGCGAAAAGCGAGAAGACTGTGGACGCACCCTTACATTACGCTCGGCTCAAATCAATCCCCGCCTTAATGATATTTAGTAAATAATCAGGGGAAAATACGTTATTATTTCCGTTCTCGTGCAACATTATTACCAATAAAACATATCCTACGTGTAAAAATATAACAACTAATATTATAATTATTGTTTTTTTCCCACTTACATGTTGGTATCAAATGTCTATCTAATTTATTCCTTTATTGTATCGACAAAAAATATGTAAAATTGTAAAATTTCCTAATATTTCATAAATTTCCGAAAGTTTCCGAAAGTATCAGAAATTTCCTGCAACAATCAAAAATTTCTGAAATATTAACATCACTAAGGCAGATTTATACCAAAAAAGCTATTAAATTTGGTCAAGCTTGTTTACGTTGTGGTGCGCAGCCAATACAGGCATCTACAGTTCTCTTTAAATAGTCTATTATTATTAGAATTTAGAATTAAATGAAATTAGAATCATATTTAATCTCATTCATGACTTTTATTTGCGTACAAGATGGGTCAAATTTTGATATCAAAACTTAAAAACATCAAATTCAAATTACAATATAATAGGTATCTACTTATTCTATTTTACTCCCGGTTCTACAGTTAGTTGGCATCGAATTTTTGACTAGATTGACAAACAAATCAACTAGACATACGTTGCCAAATTCATGAGCAAGAGCACAATATGATAGTAGCGGATGATAGGTAGGTATAGTACAATATATCATAAATTAATGCCGTAAATATTGTACAAACAAACAATTAAGTAACTATACGTTTCCATTATACCGTATGATTGAAAAAAAACGGCGTCCAGTTGGCTGGGAAATGAGAGTCGATGACACTTTTCGTGAGTTTACAAAGAAGTTTACATATAAAATGACAACGATCTTCATTTCATAACCATCGCTGACGCCTGACGCCGTTTTTTCTTTCAGTCATACGGTATAAAATACTGTATGATAGAAAAAAACGACGTCCAGTTGGCCTGGAAATGACGATCAATGACATTCCCCCGAGCATTCTCCATATAATTTTACATATAAAACGACAGCGATCTTCATTTCATAGCCATCGCTGATGCCGTTTTTTTTTCGATCAAACGGTAGAATGATAATAAGTATAATAATTTTGGAATTATGTTAGTTCACATTAAATAAATAGCTTTTTTGATAATTTTCTGCTTAGTATGTGGTACACATTTAGAATATCCAAGAAATATATCTAACCCCGAGTCTAACCCTAATATATCATTAATTGAATATCAATAATTATTGTTTTAAACTTAAAAAATGTTAAATATTTATTGCTTAACATTTGATAGCAAACCAGTTCAATTTACCAACTTTGAATAGTTCTGTTTCCTAATAATTAATTTCTTTCTTATTAAATAAGGTAGTTACAGGCATCGGTATACCCATAAAACTCACAAATAAGTACTCTTAATTAAAGCAAGAATAATTAGAAATTATTCTAAATAACTGATTTATCATCCTTGTAGAATTTAGGAGATTGTCGAGAGAATGTTAAGGAAGTTTTATTGTTTTCTCACAGTATCTTTTAAAACATGAAACATTCAGAATTAGCGAAATCTACACGTACAGGGTGGGTCAAATTCGACGCTTTTAAATGGAAACACCCTTTTCTATAGGAGATAGACAAAAACTAATATCGGTGTCTGGAGCTCAATTTTTGTCAAAAACAAGATGGTGAAAACCGCATATCGATATCTGTTACCGTTTCGGAGTTACGGGGTGTTTTTCAAAAATATGCATTTTTAACAAATCGCTGAAACTTTTTTGCTATGGAAAATTTTGTATTTCTATGAAAACATTTCCAAGGCACCTTTTTACGTAGAATTTAATGGTTTAAGTATATATTTTTTTAAATTAACAATTTAAGAATTATCAACAGAAAATTTGATTTTTTATACGGGACACACTGTATATTTTTAATTTATTGAAAAGAATTTAAAATTATCTTTCCAAAAATATAACACACTCGATATTTTGCTCGATTCCTCTTCGAGATATAGAGTATATAAAAATTCGCCCGCTTTAAATAAGTGGGCTTTGAACGGCACCGGCTCTAATGCGAAAAAATTCTAGCTGTGAGCATCAATTAAAACGAAAATAATATTTGCTATGAGAGATACAAAATTTTATAACAATTTAAAATATATTTAACCAACATGAACACATTTAAACTATATCTAATAACTATAGAAATAAATAGCAAACCAAGACATGAGATTTTGCTACAGGTGTTCGACATAACGACCGTCTCTGTTATGGACAGGCGAAGCAATTTTTAAACATTTCTCGCGGAATTCATTAACTCAGTAGGGGTGAAAGATACCCTCTCATAACTGCTAAGTATTTCTAATTCTTGTCTAGATTATACGGAAGAATAAGGAACCTTTATTCTTCCGCAAATATATTCATTAGGATTAGATCCATGGGCACTAAGTCAGACGGCCTCGACGGCTGGGATCTTGGTTAGCTATTCAATTATTCTTGAAATTGGCTGCAAAAATTTGCTGATAACTTCAGCGTTCAGAGGCGGTGCGTCGTCTTGCTGGAAAAATATGTTTTCGAGTTCCATTAAGGGCATATCATCAATAAGGGGTCCAAAGACTAGTTAAAAGTGGCGAACTTTTCAAAATTCTGTATTTCGAAGGGGATTATAACAAAATATCAAGTGTGCTATATTTTTGGAAAGGTAATTTTAATTATATAAGTAAATTCTTTTCAGTTAATTAAAAATATACCAGACACCGATATTAGTTTTCGTCTATCTCCTATAGAAAAGGGTGTTTCCATTTAAAAGCGTCGAATTTGACCCACCCTGTACATAAAAATATCATATTATCTAGGCAGGAGGTAGGTATATCAAGTTTAAGTATTAGCAGAGCTCAGTTTGCTTAATATTATTATTTTTTCGTCATACTATATTGTTATATTATTATAACATAAGCAAAATCAGAATGGAAAAGATGCATATAACGTCCGCCGGACGTTATCATAACGGCCGGCGGCCGTTAAGTTTCTAAGGTAATCGTAACGTCTGTCACCTGCAACAATGACTATTTATTGTCAGTTGGACTTTTCAAAAATTGGGAAAATAGACCATAGCGAGATGTCGCGAGAAATTCCGTTGGAAATACAGGAGGAAGCGGCTGCGGCTACTCAAAATTATACTTCCGACTATAACCAGAGAGAGATATCAGCAGGAATATGACAATTTTTTGAAGTGGCGGCAGGATAGAAGTATAAACAGCGTAAATGAAGCGGTATTGCTGGCTTATGCTAAAAGAATGTCTGAAATGTATTCTCCTACATCACTGTGGACAAAGATATCCATGCTGAAGCTTGCGTTGAGAGTATATGAAAACATCGACATATCAAGGTAAAAGCCATTATATTCTTCGATATTTAATCATACTCATCTAAATTATATTTGTTCATAGATTTGGTAAACTGTTCATGTTTCTGAGGCGCAAAAACGAAGGTTATTCACCAAAAAAGCCAAAGTTCTGTCGGAGAATGACATAAATAATTTTCTACTGGATGCCGATGATTACACCTGGTTACTCGAAAAAATTGTATTGGTGCTTGGTATTCTTGGAGCTTGTAGGCGCAGCGAGCTTTGGTCACTCACAGTTGATGATTTCGAAGATTCGGAGAAAAATATTCTTGTCTCATTAAGAAATACTAAAAATAAGAAAGATAGGAAATTTCTTATTCCAAAAACGGGCCTTCCGTTTGATGCCTATGGTTTATACAAAAATACATCAACCTGCGTCCTCGTAACTTTGACAATCCAAAATTTTTCATTGGTTACAAGAAAGGCAAGTGTGTTAAGCAAATCGTCGGTATACATACCATCGGGAGCGTACCGCAGAAAATTGCAAAATTTTTTGAACTTGGAGAATCCAGAACGTTATACAGGGCATTCATTTCGTAGATCATCAGCAACCATGCTCGCCGAAAATGGTGGTGATTTACTATCGCTAAAGGAGCTAGGAGGATGGGAGTCTTCAACAGTGGCAGAAACTTACATAGAAAAATCAGTTTCCAAAAGAATGAAAATAACAAATCAACTTTTTTCATGATAGCTCCAAAAATAATGTGTCTTTAGTGGATACAAATATTTGCCATTCTTCAGTAGCATCATCTTCTTCTATAAAATCTGTAAATCCCTGGGAAGGATTACAGATTTCTAAGAACAACAAGTGCACTTTTAATTTCCATGTTCATTATCATGAAAAATGAATTTTAGTATAAGACATTATGTATTTTTATCCTTACTTGTGATATTGTTCAATAAAATTTGTTATTAAATAGTAGTGTTTATTGCTCTAAAAAATCTGCAGTATGACGAAAAATCTAGAACGCAACACGGCCGATAACAAATAACGGCCTTGGCTGCTTATGATCCTCGGCTATCGCCTCGGATCACAAACTTCAGCCCGGCCGTTATTTGTTGTTTATCGGCCTTATTACGTTAATAACTATAACTTATTTACGGTAAAATCCACCTAAATATTTTACAAAATATTTTTTATGTTCTTGGAAAAAAATATACGATATCAATTAAAATAACTTTTTTAACGTTAATTTGCATGTTCATACACTGATACCAATAAAAATACCTTACTAGGTATCCTGAAAATTTTACACAGTTAATAGGTACACACGATTTTATGTTTAACCTTGACATGGTTACCTACCTAATAACATTTTTTCCCTTGCATAAGCCGCTAGCCGGTCCTAAACGATGCTCCAACATTGGTTCAACATTGTAACCAACATTTGCCACAGGTTTCGACAATAGAAATTGACAAGTGTGTCTCCTACAGGATATGGCAAATGTTCGTGTGTCCAACAAATGATGGAAGGTGTTGGCCACATTGTGTGGGACCGGCTTAATCCAATTCAGAACATTTTTAAGAAATCTTTGAATTGCTAAATGTACACTAGTTATAATAATTGTCATAAGTATAAGTGTACGAAAATGCATAAATATTCAAAATCCTAAAATATCCTTTTTACTGTAAAATCCAATATGAACGAAAAGAAAAACAACGAAGTCAGCGATGGCTTTGAAATGAAGATCACTGTCATTTTATACATATACAATAAATCAGATATGGGGATCGTGATTTCCAAGCCAACTGCAATGTACGCCGTTTTTTATTTCGATCATAGTAGGTAAATATCTTGTAGATTTAAGCTTAGTGAGTTAGACCTGGCCAATTAAACAGTAATCAAAAAATGTTGTGATCGAGATTTTTTATGACAGATGGGTAAACAATTCTTATAGAAAGAAAGATACATTAGATATTTTTCTGTGACCGTCTTCGTCGGCTTGATCACAACATAACTTTAAAATTATACTCTTTTATTCTTTTTTATTAGTGATTTCTAAAGAGCCTACACTTAACAACAACGAAATCTAATGTTTGATCTAATGCAATTTGGCATAAGAGTCATGTTGTTGTTGACATAATGTTGTCACCGTCTTGATCATAAAACTTTTTAATCACAACTAGGTATCACCACAGGTATCACTTTGCATTTAAAGTGTCTTAGGGTGTATTCCGTTGCTTACCTTGGTTATGGTTTTATGTTCCGTTTCTATTGGTTTCCTGAAAGTTTTCTTATTACGGAACACGGTTTCTGAAAAATTCGGTTATAACTGTCACCAAACTAACCAGCGCGAGAAGGCTGGTTTTTCTGGTTTTGTTTGTCAATCAATGTCATTTATGTGACAGAAATCAAGCAAATATTGGAAGTTTGAGTGAAATTCTCATTTAATTTCTAAAATTTGTAATAATATTTTGTATTTACATCCAAAAGCAATGGAGGTAGGCAGTAAAGGTAAATAAATTTAATTAACTAAATAGAATTACTTTTTAGGACCACTTAAACTTATCATGCAGCCATTGTTTCTTAAAGTCAGGAACATTTAAAGAAAACATGAAAAACAAGACAACAAGTAATCGTGAATGTTTTGTAAGCTATAGAAATATAAATATTGATTAGATTTGTTTATTTATTATTGATCTGTTTTAATATTGAACCTGCAAATCTTCACTTGAGCTGTCAACGAGTTTAACAGTTTATTAATAAAGTACTTGTCAATATTAAACTCCATTGAAAAGAAGAAGCAAACGTAAAAGCAGAGAATAGGTACATTAAAAATGCATAAAAGATAAATTTTATAATCCAGGTATTGAAATTTAGAAAACGTCAATATTTGACGTTTCTAGTATTTTACCAAACCGTTCCGTATCAAATCGCTGTTTTTCAGGAACCGCTCTTTACCGTAGTTTACCGGTCTGGTTTGCCTGATTTTGCAACGGAATACAGCCTTAGTTAGTTAGGACAAATAACACATAAAATCACCATAGATAGCTTACTTTTTGTCTGAAAAATATTGAAGTACTATGTAAACAACCGTAGGTGTGAGAATATTCATCTCGGTAAGTATTTAAGTAGTTATAGATAATAGGTATTCATTCTTGTGACCTATGATTTTTAAAAAACGATTTTTTTTAAATAACTGATACAGTCATGTTATTAGCGTGGTGTGTCAATTTAAATTTAACCAATACCTATGGTACCGACAATATATCAAAATACAGCTATTGTATGAATATTTAAAATAGGTACAATTCCAGCAATTTTTCAACGACCTAGTTGCCCTCAGTGTTCTTTTTCTACATAAGTAATAAATTAAAAAAAATGAAGGCTGTGGTTAACCATAAAAATTGATATTTTTGTTCTGGTTACTTTTTATGTTTCACTTTAGTTTGTTGCCTAACAATAAATTATGGTTTTATCTATAAAATAATATCTACTCCAAAACAGATACATTGGTTAGGACAATAGTTACGTATTGTATTAAAATTGTATTTCTAATTATTTAATAGACAATTTTGAGATGTATTTTTGATATAGGTATGTAACTTACTACATATTAGAATAAAATGTATGAACAGAAATTAACATCTGCTAAATTATATTATGAGTCAATCAATTTTATTACGTTATTGTTGGTTACCCATATCCAATACCTACATTATATTATTTTTGATAAATTTGCATTAGAAATTAGAATCAAATACCCAATATATTAGGTAGGTACTTACTAACTGGTCAAATAGGGCAATTCCAAGAATACTTAAGAAACTGATAGTTCTTTCAGCTAATCACACAATCTATTTCGCACTAGTTTCATACACTACGAATATAATTCCTACAGTTCGACAAAAACAAACACTCAATTTTTCCAGTAAAAACACGTTTTTCTAGTCCAAACACAACGTAAAGTTATTATCCGACGGTAGTTGAGAGATTTGAACACTTCGCGGTACGATTTTAGTCTCGATATTGGTTTTGTACTTAGTAACTGTTGGCTAAATGCAGAAATTGTTTTGTTAAATAAATAAAAGGGATATTTTTGCTATGTAATAAGAATTGAAGACGCACAACTGACGTCCCAACTCTAGCGAGTTCGGACTGAAACGAAAAACGAAATCACAAACGTCCAACGTCGACTTCGCTTTCTTGCCGATCGCTCAATGCGAATCGCGCAGACGCGGATTGACTCAAAGCGCTCGCTTCTCCTTCAAGATCGCGCTTTGGACCGCCTATTCAAAACTTTATTTTTAAACTATAATCAAACAACTTAAATTTAATGCTTTCTGCTCCAATTTTCAAAATATATTTAGGGCATTTACCTATAAAATTAATGTATTTAGTGGAAAATACTTAATAACAGTCAACAAACCATTTCATTGGTTGGTTTAAATCTAAACGTAAGACGTAGCTAAGTTCGGATGACTCCCTCTGAAGACCTTGCTCCGACTCGTTCGCATCCCAAAATTGATAAGCCACGCCTACTAGCCGTACCACATGTCGTAAATCCTTCTCTTTTATTGGCTTGGATAAAATGCAATACGGACGACAATACGTATCCTACAATTTGCCAAGGGGGGCATTGAACAGCTGATTGTCAAATTCCAACTGATAATTGATACATGATAGTTCCTGTTTCTATAATAATTTTATAATTAATTAACATGAACTAATAATATCATCAGAATAGCATGTTATTGTATTATAAATTATATAATATATTCTGGGTACAAAATAGGAAGTCTAATTTATAATACAAAGGTTTAAGGGATAAATATTTTAATATACTAAATACAAATTCTATAATTTATTTTTAAACTATAAAATTTTAAATCTTATTAGGTATCCACCGTATCCCCATTATTCATTTAACCCTGATGAGATCCTAATCTATTATTTCATTAATAAAAAGTACCCGGTGGCTCATCTAAAGATTGAGTCTGGAAACAGTGGCGGATACAGAGGGGGGCCCATGGGGCCCGGGCCCCCCCCCTAAAATCTGTAAATTGGGTTAAATCTTAGGCTTTTGGGTTAAAAGTGGCGCCCTAAAAAGAATATTCTACGATACTTTTTATTTTGGGCCCCCCTAAAATAATTTCCTGTATCCGCCCCTGTCTGGAAAGGATAGTGGAAGTACTTACCCTATGATGAAAAAAAAACACCTCCAGTTGGCTTGGAAATGAACATCGATGACATTCCCCACACAGTGGCGGATCCACGGGGGAGGGTCCTCCGGTGCTCAAAAATATGATTTCAGTCAAGCGGAATTTCAGTCGAACTTGTATTGCTCTGGATTTTCTATTTTTTCACTGATATTATATTAGTTTCTTTTGTGACAATTTTATTTAAACCCACATTTTAACATATTTATAATTACTTTCTCGTAAGGGTATTTACCCCCATTACTCCTCCCGTATATGCGCCCCTGAAAGTATCTCACATTCAAAATTCGTCCATTTTTCACCTCTTTTATATGTGAAACTATTTTACTACCTTCTTTCAGGTAAAAGGACTGTCAAGGCCATTGAACTAAGAAATGCAGGTGGAGCATACAGGGGTCTGATTTTTTGGCCCAAATAAAAGGCAGGTAGGAGTCTATATGGCCTTGTCCATATTATCAAATAATTTTAAAGAAATAGTAGGTAGAAAACTTAAAATCTCTGCTCTGCAACCCTGAGGATTAAATACACCCATCTACAAAATGTTATATTTCAACAGTATTGATGAGAATTTAGTAAACAAGTATTTAGTAATATAGTTAAGATGGGGAAAGTAAGTTAAATAAACAAGGGCGCCCCCAAGAGGGAGCAGGGAGGGGCACCTAACCTCCACTAAATATTCAAAAATTGTCTCAAAGGCCAAGTTTTCGAGAAATGGGTGGTACTTTTTAAACTATCAAATTTATTTATTGCAAATAAGTAAATTCATTAACAATCCTACTACGTCCATTAACAATCCTACTCACCTATTAACAATCCTACTACATATCGTCCTATTGTTGCCAAAAGTCACTAACTAACATTTTCCGAACAGCCAAAAATTCAATCACTAACTATATTTTGAAGCGGAGAATCGATTGAAAAAGTCATTAGCTAAGATTTCTGGCTATTTTTGTTTTATTTTGATACCGAATAGTTACTAACTATAACATCTTTATGCAATGCAATCGTAATTTTGGCAGCAATGGGACGATATATAAACCTAAATTACTTTATTTGACACAAGTTTTGTTGTAAAAAAGTTTGAAAAAGGGTTGTTAAAAGTTTTAACACGAAAACACTTAATCTGAAGCTGGTTGATATGCGTGTTCTATTATTGCACTAAATTTTACATACAAATATCTGTGTAAAATTATGGAAAAATAAATACATCAAAATACATACACGGGTTTCAATATATACACAACATACTATTAGAATTATAAAGTCGGTTGTCTTATATAAAACATGTAAGAAATGTAAAAATGGCAATGTGAGCAATATATACATACATCATATAACATAACAAAAAAAATCTAAATATGAGTATCACAATAAAAATGTTTGCCTAGTAATATAAAATTTACAATTACTATATAAATGTTTACATTATACAATTATTATATAAATGTTTATATTATCTTTCGCTGCCCTTGCCCGCCAGGAGGGTCTCATATTTTGCACATTCAAGGGTTAGTTGTTTAACTCCAGCTGCGTAGGTACGTTGTAACTCCAAAAGACCCTACAACAAATTATTTTCGTTTCAATATTACATTTTTAAATACATGTACAGTGTAAGCTATTTAATTTGCCCTCCTTTAACTATTTTATTTTGAGGTATTAATTCGTTAAAATATTTATTTATACGTAATGTAGGCAATTATAACTATAACCCGCGACTAAAGTCACAATTGTTTGTTACGCCCATGGAATATAACAGATTTTTTAGAAAAGACATAATGTATAATCGGTTTCTTAAACCTAAGAATATTTACCACAGTCAAATTAGTTAAAAAAGGCGCATTGGTGGAAAAAAAATCCGACAGTTTTGAAAATGGTTTTAAATGATTCCTCTAGACTTGCTAGACTTGATATGTGTCAAAAGTCCCCGAAGATAGTCGATGAGCTCGGGGAGTGAGGAGGAGTTAAATGTCAATTTTTTCACTGTTTTGCTTATATCTCGGAAACTATGACATCTACTGAAAAACGCTCTATATATAAAAATAAAGCTGACAAAATTCTCTATAAAAATGATTATATACATTTTTGTTCCCGGACTTACAGTTTACGAACTATGTCCTTCTTAAATTTGGATACTAAATCAAATGGTACATATATTCCAAATTCGTAAAAACACATTTCTTTTTATTACCTCTTTTCCATTCAAATAGGGTTGAAGAAGTACGATATTCCGATTTTTTAAGTATTAAGTATAACTTTTAGTATATACTGTGATTTTATAAATTTTAGACGTGATGTGTTCATATAAATCACACCTTGACTGCGCATGTTATTTGTTTTCTGTTTTATTGCATGGTTAATGTTTTCTGTTCATTTATTTTGTTTTACATTTTTGTGTAATTAAAAAAATCAAAATCGACATTATGTGCATAATATATTAAAGAAACAAAATAAATAATAATATTATATATACAATATAAAATCATTTATTTAATGCAATTCATTACTAGATTTTATTAAATAGAGTACTACCTACAGCAAATTCCCCAAATAAATAATAGTATTTAGGATAATTACATAGGCTATTTTTTTAAAAAGTTTTAACCTCCTGTAACTTTAAAACTAACTCATGTTTATAAAAACTTTTTTTATATTTTTTGATAAGAAATCAATGAATACTTATTTGAGATTTTGGCAAGTTAACAACATTAAAATTTTTAAAGGTTGATATTAGAACTGGATTAAGACAAAATATCAAGAGACAACTTTTAATCAGCATTTAACGGTCTACGCAATTTTACCAACAAAAAAAGTCAGTAGCGCACATATTTTTTTTATAAAAATAGTCCAGTGATAACCCATATTCACGTCCCTGGTGAATATATCGACACTTTTTTAGCATTAAAGTATATCGTTTATACAGTAACTTTTACTGTTAAAAAGCACCTGGAAGAAAATTATAAAAAAAACTAAAAAAAGATGAAGACTTTAACCCCCTGTAGCTACGAAACAAAGCAGAATCGAACCTATATTAATATCAAAAATTAATCTTATTTTTGAAGAGGAATTTCTCCACGAGAAATGGCATATGTTTTTTGAAACACCCTGTATATTTTACCCAAATTTATTGTTTGTTTTCTTACCTGTAAGACACTGTTAAGTTGATCTTTCTTTTTCCTCTGTTCATAAACTTGTCTTTCAATTTTTAATCTGTTCTGTTTAACGCCATCCACAATATTTTTGAATTGAGTCATAAATTCTTCTTTACTACTGGATGACTGCATAGCCCTTAATAAAAAATGTTAAATATTAAAGAATTATTGTGTCTACTATTTATCCAACTTACTCTGGATAGTTATCTGATATTGAGTTCATTATTGATAATTCCTTTTGCATATACCTTCTTTTGTCCTCTAATGTGTTGTAGAGCGTGTAATATTGCTTTGTTTCCTTATGCTTTGCTGCCACTTAAAGGAAAATACAAGTGTTAATATTATATACGATAAAACTCTCAATAAACTTTAACATACCCTGATTATATAATTCCAAGAATCGCTTTTGATATTGATTCATTTCAGCTCTGTTAGGAACATCATCAAGTTGTCTTTGCAATTTTGCAACAATCTGATTCTTCTTAGCTAAGTTTAATCTAAGTAATTTAATTTTATCAGTTAATTCCGCGATATCGGCTAGCATGCGTGGAGAAGTCTCAGTAGGGCTTATAACTTGCTTAAATTCACTACAAATATTAAATATTTAATTAATACATATATACAGCGTGGTCCGAACCGTATTCCGGAAACTTCGGCAGTATATTCTGCAGATAAAAATAAGTAAAAAAGTTCGTATAAATGTATGTGTGTCCTAAAATGCTTAGTTTCAGAGATCGGCGTGTAGAAGTTTCATTTTTATTTCGATTTTTTCTAAATAATTTCTGAAATAATGTCATTATTTGGGTAATTTGATTTTGATGTCAATATGATTCCTACTAGTAGAGGGCGCCACCTACGTGTGTTTTAACTATTTTGAAGCGTAATAACTTTTTGTCCGTACCTGTATAAAACTACCGACCGAAAAAATATACATCTCTGTGATTTTTTGCATAAAAAATGTCTCTTTGTAAAAATCGCTACGAGCAACCGTTCTTAAGATATTTAGTATGGAAATAGTAAATACATGTCATTATTGACGAAAAATAAACACGTTGAGTAGATAGTTATTTCACTGAAAAAATAAATTTCGGAAATTTTTATTATTTTAAATTAATCAAATTTTTCTGCAAAAATTGATGATAAAACAGTTTCTGTTGAACATTTGACACAAAAACATTTCGAATTTATGATTTGAGTCTAATAACTATTTAGTCAACATGTCTAATTTATGTCAATGATGACAGGTATTGATAATTTCTATTCCAAATATCTCGAAAACCATTACTCGTAGCGATTTTTACCAAGAGACCTTTTTCACGTAAAAAACGTCGTAAATGTATATTTTTTTACTCAATAGTTTTATACAGGTATAGTCGAAAAATTATTACCCTTCAAACCAGTTAAAAAATATGTAGGTGGCGCCCTCTACTAGTAGGAGTCATATTGATATCAAAATCAAATTTGTCATGTCAAAAAACTTCCAGACACCAATTTTCATCCAAATATTGACGTTACTTAAAAAAAACGAAATAAAAATGAAGCTTCTACACTCTGTATCTCCGAAACTAAGCATTTTAGGACATACATTTATACGAACTTTTTTACTTATTTTTATCTGCAGAATATGTTGCCGAAGTTTCCGGAATACAGTTCGGACCACCCTGTATAAAATACTGTATAAAATACATACCCTGTTGGTCGTCCAATTATGTGGTCTGGATTTTAATGAGTGTGACAGAGAATAATATAAATGGCCGCTTGACAGACAGAGAGGCAAAATCAAAAGCGGCATACAGTGTTGCCGGTTGTTTACGTTTGTAGGAAAATATGTAGAAAAATATAACCTATTTTAAAAACTTTCATGTATACTACTGAAATGATGATAATATATCTAAACTAAATATAATCTATTACAACTGAAGTAAAATGAGGAGCTAATAGTGAAAAATAAAGTTCCAACCCTAAATGCAACATTTTTCGTAAACGCCATAGAAGAAATGTGACGACCCAATTTTTATCTCTTTTTAATACATTTGATTTTCCATTAAGCTGTCTACATCACTGTCTTACACGTTAAAATCTAGACCGCACAGTTTCGATGGCCAAATCGGTATAAAAAATCTTCCACACTTACTCTATCTCCTTCTGCAGCCTCGCTAATTCTTGTTTACACTTTTCTTTGAATTGTGTTTCTTCAGATTTTAACGTATCTTTGAGAATAACAAGTTCTTCTATCTCTTTAATGCCACTGAAAAATAAAATATTTATAACAATTGTAGCAAATGACGATCGCTGTCACTTTAATATGTAAAATTATATGGTGAATGTTATCTATCGTCAGTTCCAAGCCGACTTCACGCCTTTTTATGGATCATACGCTATACGCTATACAGGGTGTCCCCCATATTCCGTGAACATAGAACTATTAAACTATGTATTTTTGAAATCAAAATTAGTTCATTGGAAACAATTTACCATTGTATTCCTACTAAAATTAATATAGGGGTGGGGGGTAGTTTTCACCCTTCCCGTACTTTTTCAGGATTTTTATGATAGTCAAATGTTACAGCGTCTAGCAAAACATAGACACGCCCAATCTCAATCAAGTCGAAATATCGGTTCTTAAATTATCTTAAAAAATGTTTTTTTTAAGTTTGATACCCTCTAACAGAAAAAGAAAGCAATTTTGTGTGCAAGTGGATTGTGTCTAATGAACTTATTTTGATTTGAAAAATTTGCAGTAGTTCTATGTCGGAATATTGGAACACCCTGTATATCATGCAAAAATTATTGTCATAGCGGCAAAAAGGCCTCACCACGTGGGAAAGGGATTAAGTTAAAGTTATTTAATGGTATGATATATACCAGAAAGGTGTTTAAAATTTGAATTTACATCTTTGTAAAAACAATGTATCAATTTTATAAATATACGGGAAATATAAAAAAACTAAACTATTTTGAAAATTTTTAAAAAATTGCATCGTCTTTGCTATAATTTTGTAAAACGAGTACCATATGATAAAAAAAAACATTAAGTTGGCTTAAAAATGAAGATCATGCAGATTCATGATATGGCATTCTCCTTATTATTTTGCAAAAAAATTAGTGCGATCTTCATTTTCAAAATTCATTGACGCTTTTTTCGTTTGTATGTTATATCCAACAAAACCAATTCCTGTGAAACTTCTTTACGTGCGTTGGGAGTAAAAATTCAAGGCCGTGATACACGAGCTATATAGCGTCAGAAAAAATGGTTACGATCGGAGGTTAAGACGGAGCGTCGTAACTCGGGCCCTATGTGAGCTAGGGGGCTGAAACTCGGAGGCTAGATGAAGCTCGAAGAGCTCCATCTTTCCATGATATTTTGACGACGTTTCGTGCACTACGAAACCCCATCATCAATGAATCAAATCAAAAAATCGCTCGATTTAAATGAAATTTGGTATGTCGATAGATTGGAATTGGACTAAGGCCAACTTGACCGTGTAATTGTGACAGTTACGTAAGAAACGTCAAAAGTTGATGTCGTCCGATCGCGACCAAATTTGGTGAGTAGGATGTGAGCGACGGCGCACACGGTCCCACCCTGCAAAGTTGGATACGACGTTTCGTTTACATCCTCATCAGGTTGGAACTAAGGATTTGATATTGTAGAAAAATGTGGGTCGATTTCGGCATAATTGGGTACGGGCGGGCGTCGCCTTCGACGTTTCGAACCGATGCCTATAAATGGACGAAATCATCAGGATTTTTCTTAATTATGGGTCGATTGGACCCAAACTAGGCACGTGGATAGAGGTATCCAAATGCAGTCCGCAAAAATAATATGGAGTTTTACTTCAAATATGCACATAGTGCACACACAATTTTTTTTGTTGTTAACATTTTTTTACCATGTATTGGTAAGATCCAGAGAGCAGACAGTAAAGAAAAAGGAATGCATTATAGTAATTACTTTTATCATTTATGCATTGTCATGATAATGTGTTATATACAGGGTCCGGCAATAGTGCGTCGGGCATTTGTAGCTCCTATAATAAAAAAGTTAGGAATTTTGTTTAAGTGCATACCTAAAGAATGTATTAGAATGTATTTCAGGAAAATATTTTAACTTCCTCAGGATGGCTCAAAAAAGTGTGAGTGGATAAAATATTTTCCTCAAATACCTACATCCTAATAGATACTTCAGGTCTACACTTATAAAAATTTACACTAAGTAAATTTCTAACTTTTTTATTATAGGAGCTACAGATGCACGACGCACTATTGCCGGACCCTGTATAAAAAATACACCCTTTTTCAAATGTTATAAAAAATTGGTATTTTTCGAAAATTCCCTGAATAAAACATTTGCAGAATATAAACTTTTGTGGACAGAGACAAGAAAAATTAATTACTCTAAATTTGCACTCTTTTCTTCTTCAAACTCCTTCAATCTCTGATTAGTTTCTAACTGTTTAATTTTAGTATCCTCAAGTATTTTCCGTTGCTGTTGCAATTGTTCTTCTAGTTCTGTCTTTGTTGCTTGAAGTTTTAAAATATTATTGTCTAAAAGTTGGGTTTGTTCTTCTAATAAATTCAGTTGCTGAGTTTCCTTTGCTTGATGCCCACCATCCTACATAGAAATGATTATATAGGTTATACATTTATTTATTCACTCTAAGTAGACATGTTAAATATGACTTATAAATTTGTAGGAATAAAAATCAACTTTACCTTTAGTTCAGAATGCATACTTGCATAATGTTTTATCAACATTTCCTTATCCTCTTCGCTTAAAGTGTCATCTTTAATAATATCCTTAAAAATTAATTGACATTAAATGTTTCATTCTATGATATACTTATTGTTTTTATCACATATTATAAATATGTACATATAAAGCAAAAAAAAAATCACAAAATATCAAACTAAATCCTTACCTCTTTTGCAGCAGTAAGATTTGATAAAAGCTCATTTAATTTATGCTAAAAATAAAAACACAAAAAACATAAAATACAACAAACAACTCAATCATGCTTAAACATAGTTAAAATTATTAACCTGCTCTTCATCAAAGGAATTTGTCTGTTCACTGGATCCCTCGCCATTATTTGTACTATCAGTAACTGATTTTAAAATGCTACCACCTCTATAACCATATTCTAAAAGTGTAATTTGTACTCTTGACAGGATATCTGGAGGAGGGACATTCTTTCTTTTATAATATCTAGTTGGTCTGAAAATAAGAATATAAATTGGTATTGATTTAAAAAATACATAGATTAATAGTTAAACTTATTAATATTGCAAATATCATTAGGTTTTCTATTTTACTTTTTCCTTCAACCTGATTTAGAAAATATGAAAGTAATAGTACCCCACATTTTAAAAGTACTTTAAAATATAAGTTATAGGGTTATTATAAATACATTTTACACGAAAATTAATGTTTTTAAATAGAATTCTGTATATTTTTTTCTATACTGTCATAAAATTTAATGCTTTCAACTAAAATACAACAATTTGCTATACTACAATACTACAATTTTGAGAGAGCTTTAACTACAATATGGTCATATTTAAAAGACCACTTGTGACACAAGATTATGACATGTTTAAAACGAAAATTTTATGACTTATTGTATACAATGACTTAAAAAATCAATAATTGGTGTAATAATTAATTAATTATTTGATTTGCTCTGTATACCTATAAAAGTATTTTTAAAATATCTGCTGTATACTATGCCAGCATCCACCATATGATCGAAAAAAAAAAACGGCGTCTAGTTGGCTTAGAAATGAACATCTCCATATAATTTTACATATATAAAATGACAGCAATCTTCATTTCATAGCCATCGCTGACGCCGTTTTTTTTCTCGATCATATGGTATTATAAGACCAGAAGTAGAAATGTCAAATAACATCCTTTATATCTTCCATACCTATATGCTTCATTAACAATTTTTAAACTATCTAACATTTGATCTAATTTTTTATCAGTCTTTTCCTTTATTGAGAATGTCTTTTGGAATTGTTTCACAGCATAAGAACGTACAAAAGCTGATTTTTCTTCTCGGGCATCCAAAGAAGCTTTTACAAGCCACTAAAATAAAGATAGGTATATGTAGTAGGGAAAATAACAAACACAAAAAATATTACTTGTATAACTGGGAAAATATGAATACAATCTAAACCTTGAATCTGGTGTGGTTCTATCCTATGAGGGCATTTAATTTTTGGCAAAACAATGACTATTTTTTCAGTTAAAGCTCTAAAAACAAATAGCATTAAATTTAAGCAAATTTGAACTTTTATTATACTATTTACATCTTCTGGCCAATTGTAGAATTTTCTTCAAAAAGCAAATTAACATCTACATCAACATCTAATGATTCTACACACCACACCATCCCGCCAACAATTTTATCAAAAGGACTTAGTCCTTTTATTCTGGCTCTAAAATACCCAGCTGCGACAAGAAGGTCGATAATTTCTTGTAACTTAGTAAACTGTTCCTCATCTTCGCGTACTTCCACCTAAAATGTTGGATAAGATATAAAAACGAAGTTATTTGAAAACCTCGTTAAAAGTGTTACTTTTATTTCGCCGTTATTCTTCTGCTGCCGTTTAGAAACCTGTTGAAATTTATTAAACATGTCTTGATTTATTGAAGCCATTATAATTTAATTTCGTAATAAAATTGTACAACAAAAATTGTTGTTAAAAAAGGTAAAAACTTAATAAAACATTAAATTATTTGTGGTTAATGTTCAAGATCAGCTGTTTTCCATCAATTTTATTTATCTTTCCCACAGATTAATAGTGTTCACAGAAGCAAAGAGTAGATAAGTCTTATCTACTCTTTGACAGAAGCATAGAAGAATATAATAATTTATATATGATATTTATTTGCCTCATATCCAAAATCGTAAACGTTTCGTTTACTAAGAATGTTTTTCTAAAAAAAAACTAGGAATGTTTTTCTAAAAAAAAAAACGATTTTATACAGAATATCGATACTTTACTTTGAAAACCTTTTGCATTAAATTGAAATCGTTTAATAAAATATTACGAATATTTAAAAAAAATCTGTTTAAAGCAAATAACTTATGAGAATGAATCTTGAACATATACGAGGTTCTCTGAAAATCATAATAATATATATACAGGGCGTATTTTCGTACTAATACTTTGCTAATACTCCGATTGATACCTATATATATATTGTAGTTTAATTCACAGGTAAACTGTATTTTCTGTAATTTTTGTCTGCCGAAATCTTCCCTGATTCGTTGGACAGACCCTTGTCTATGACAGACTATAGCAAATATATATCACAGATTGTACAGGGTGGGTCAAATTCGACGCTTTTAAATGGAAACACCCTTTTCTGTAGGAGATAGACGAAATCTAATATCGGTGACTGGAGCTCAATTTCCATCAAAAACATGAGGGTGACAACCGCACATCAATATCTGTTACCGTTTCGGAGCTACGGGGTGTTTTTCAAAAATGTGCATTTTTAACCAACCGCTGTAACTTTTTTGCTATGGAAAATTTTGTATTTCTATGAAAACATTTCCAAAGCACCTTTTTACGTAGAATTTAGTGGTTTAAGTATAATTTTTTTAAAATTAATAATTTAAGAGTTATCAACAGAAAAATTTATTTTTTATTTGAGACACCCTCTATATTTTTAATTAACTGAAAATAATTTAAAATTACCTTTTCAAAAATATAGCACACTTGATATTTTGTTATAATCCCCTTCGAAATACAGAATTTTTAAAAGTTGATATGCCCTTAATGGAACTCGCAAACATATTTTTCCAGCAAGACGACGCACCGCCTCTGAACGCTGAAGTTATCAGCAAATTGTTGCAGCCAATTTCAAGAATAATTGAATAGCTAACAAAAATCCCAGCGGCCTCGACGGCCAACCGCCTGACTTGTGCCCATGGATCTAATCCTATGGATATATTTGCGGAAGAATAAAGGTTTCTTACTCTTCCGTATAATCTAAACAAGAATTAGAAATACTTAGCAGTTATGAGAGGGTATCTTTCACCCCCACTGAGTTAATGAATTCCGCGAGAAATGTTCAAAAACTGCCCCGTCTGTCCATAACAGAAGACGGTCGATATGTCGAACACCTGTAGCAAAATCTCATGTTTTGATTTGCTATTTATTTTTATTGTTATTAGATATAGTTTAAATGTGTTGATATTGGTTAAATATATTTTTAATGGTTATAAAATTATGCATCTCTCATAGCAAATATTATTTTCGTTTTAATTGATGCTCACACCTAGAATTTTTTTGCAGTACAGCCGGTGCCGTTCAAAGCCTACGGCCTACTTATTTAAAGCGGGCGAATTTTTATATACTCTATATCTCGAAGAGGAATCGAGCAAAATATCAAGTATGTTATATTTTTGGATAGGTAATTTTAAATTCTTTTCAATAAATTAAAAATATACAGGGTGTCCCATATAAAAAATCAAATTTTCTGTTGATAATTCTTAAATTATTAATTTTAAAAAAATTAATCTTAAACCATTAAATTCTACGTAAAAAGGTGCTTTGGAAATGTTTTCATAAAAATACAAAATTTTCCATAGCAAAAAAGTTACAGCGATTTGGTAAAAATGCATATTTTTGAAAAACACCCCGTAACTCCGAAACGGTAACAGATAACGATATGCGGTTTTCACCATCATGTTTTTGACAAAAATTGAGCTCCAGACACCGATATTAGTTTTTGTCTATCTCCTATAGAAAAGGGTGTTTCCATTTAAAAGCGTCGAATTTGACCCACCCTGTACATGGCAAATAATTGTTATTGGTATACATGGTCTGGCGATTGTGTGTCGTAGCTTCTATAATAAATAACTATTTGACCCCACCAAATAACCATCAACCAACACAACTAACTCCACCAAATAATCAATCTAACACCACCAAAAATAGTGAAACCAACGCAATCCGTATTTTGATTGCTATTAAATATTTACAGCTTCTTTAAAAAAACAGTTGGTAAAAAAAATAAAAAAGTTGTGGTCCGGCGTGAGATTTGAACCACGGACCTCTCGTTCACGAAGCAATGGCATCAGTCATGAAGCCACAGCTACTCTTGCAAGATTAGCTATAGCCAGGCGTTACTTTCTGCTGTAAGCATAATTCGTGACACGGCAACACTGCAGTTCTATTCGGCTATTGAAGGTTGCTCCTCCGGTTGGACGATTAGACCATAGGATTAGACTAAATACAGATCCAGTTGACGTACTATAAAATTCTTTGATTTGGCCTTTCTCTGCAAAGTTATTTGCTTCTATAGGGTGAATCAATATCGAAATTATTGACTTTCCTCAAAAATGGACGTTGAAGCCAGGTTGAAGCTAAAAAGTTGATTTTTGGTGCGTTTAGTTCACAGACATATAAAATACCTATTACGTATGTATTGTAGAATGATTAGTATGGCATATAACAAACTCTTGAAACGGCTCCTCTTGAAATACTATACTATTTGTTTCACCAAGCTAATTTTTGAAAATATAAACTTATTAAAAAATAAATAAAAGTTCTAGTATAGTAAACGCCACGAATGTTTGGGAGTGATTCATCGCTTGATGAAGTTAGAATCGACACGCGCGCTATCATTTTTACATTAAAAACGTAAATTTTTACTGCAGACGTAGGTTTTTAAAGGCCCGGTCTAATCATCTGCCTGCGCTCCTCCTACTTATTCTAAAATATTAGCGTGATTGACAAAGACGATACTATATCGCGTTTCTTTGATTGATTCGTTTTTGTGCGTCAGTCCATTGGTGTGCTTGCAGTGCGACTAATGGGGCATTCCATTTTATATTTATAACCAAATATATGTTTTGACAAGACTTTGACAGTTAAAACAAAAAAATACAACAGATTATATATTGATTATTATAATGACTATAATGACTTGAAACACCACGGCACTGGAATTAAGTTTTATGTGACCTTGAACAGATTAGTTCACATGGTAGCGACCGATCTTTGAATAAGAAGACTAAGGAAGGAGCATAATGCTATCCATGTATTCATGCATGGTGGGCGGAAAAAGCTCTCTAGGGTGGGGATCCTTGACAGTTCTGTTTGACGATTCATTTGACACATTTGAATTTGATTTGAAATTTTGTGGATTTGTTAGTCTTTACGGAACTTATTTTATGTTATTTATTATTTATTCTACTACTGATAGTTGTATAAAGGTAGTAAATCTAGATGGAAATTGTGGCAGAACTTCAATTAACAGTGACATTATCGCGATTTATCGAAAAAGACTCTAAAATAGTTGGTTGTGTAGCGTGCGGTAGATCTCGGCAAAAATTGAGTGAAATAATGGAACAACTTTTCGCTAGTAAGTGACTATATAATATACATACGTGTAGTAAACCGATCATTTATGAAATTCAATTAAATTAACTAAATTATATATTTTCTTGCATTTTAGCTTTTATTTACTACTTGTCAAAGATCAGATGTCAAAGAATTTTGATACGTTAATTTGACTTACCTGCTTCAGTAGCGTATCGGATGTTTGTGTTAATAAATACTTATTATAACTTATCTATTTTTATTAGAATTATATATTTTTATAACAATTTTAATAACTACTGACATTTATTTACAACGTAAAATAAAATAACAAATTATTGAGTCTACCCTACGTCTACCCTACATCATAGTTTTACATTTTTTAAATAAAATTAGAACGGCACTGATAAACCGGAATTTAAGTCGGCCATATTTGAGGCCCATCGCGGTGCACCTAAGATTTTTGATATGCTCCTTCCTTAGTCTTCTTATTCAAAGCGACCGATAAATCACTCCCAAACATTCGTGGCGTTTATTATAGTAGTTTTTTGTTCATATTAGTTTTATATTATAGTGACTATTTTGAATGAGTATTTAATGCCACAATTTACAAAAATCAAAATATTTTGAAAAATTAAAGAAATAAATGCACTATTTTTAATTATAGAAATTATAATGAGTTCATGATAATAATCTGTAGTATCATGACAAGTAGGCATAATTTTAATGAGCTGCTTTCAAAAAAACATTTTTTGATTATAAAACAAGGTTTCATATTAAACAAGCTAATCACTACCAGAAAATTTCAGAATGCCGATGCCGTACAGAACATTATTATGTAATATACCTAATTATAAAACTTATATTCAAGTTATTATGCACAATTTATCTAAATATGATTGACACCTTATTATAAACAACATAAGCTTAGCCCCAAGCCTAACTTTTTGATAATTTTCTCCATTCTTTAATATTCTTGTTTTGTACCTAGTGGGCTTGAAAATTCATAATCCTTTTAAAATTACTCTCAAATTTTAAAATGTTATCTTATTCGCGCTTTGTCAAATTTTTATATTTTTTTCTGTGTTTAAAATCCTGTTATTTTTCTACTATATTTATCTGCAGTAAGTATTGTTAGGTAAATATATGTATGCCTAGCTAATAAATTAAAAAACAATTGTTAAAACATATATTTATTAAAATAAGGAACATTTACGGGATATACAGCTATTTTTGGATATACAAAAATATACAACATAGAATTACTATCATTATACACCGGCGGTCTTACTTTAAAACGAATATCACTTAATATATCTTCCTAGATTGCACTACCAATAAATAATATCAAACGATAATTAATTTTAACTATGTATTACTTAATGTATACAAATTATTTAAGTATTATTGTTTAAAACTGGGCATGGGACTTAAAAATTGATATGAAAAGTATCAATTCCACATTCATGTATAATATTATATTTTGTTTCTATCTCTCAAGCAAATAACACTCTAAAGTCTAAGCCAAAATAATTGAAATAATTTACAATACATCTACTAACAGTAATATCTGTTAATTTGTACTGATTAAGTCATAATGAACTGATTTTTATTTAAGATCCTTTTTTAATACACAGTATGTCCCGGAATACACAGATTGCCTTTACAAGGAAAAAAACTTTTTCATTATAAACTTTTTGAGTAAAATACATTCTTCATAATGGTTTTTGCTTGTTGTAATATAGTTAATCTCTTGATTTTACTTTTCCAAACTTCCATACACTTGTAGAGCAAAATATGAAAATATAATCAAATTCACGCGTTTCTAAGGCAATATCATTTCGTTTTCGTTCTTTTATAGATGTTTATTATACAAGATGAATCTTAAATAAGTACAAATATTTTGGGGATTGTAGATCTCGATAAAATAAACATATTTTCTCTTTACCGTTTTCGAATAAGTCCAAAATAACCGAGTTATTTACTTTAAAAACTAAAAAAATGTTTAAATTTTGCAAACCACTGGATCTTTTCTGGGTTTTCTTTCTTGTAAATTTAATCTACTACCTATGTTACGATATTATCAAGAAATTATGTTTTTAGTTAAAAACTAAAAAAAATTCAAAAGTTTAAGTATAAAGTTTCTGAGGTCGAAATATACTATGCCTAAAATATTTGCATTTATTTAAGACTAACCTGTATATTAATAAGTCGTAGTTTAAAAACTTTGAAACCATTACAAATTTTATTTGTCTACTATTTCAATGATAATGGCTCCCTCTGCAATGTTTTTGACATATTTATTTCAAATAAAAATAATTGTTTACGATAGTTCAAATCCTGTATTACAATTTACCGCATATCTTAATTTTTCGCGCAGGGTACTTTTCTTTTGATAGTTTGGCAGTTTCAATAGATTAAAACATGTAGACGAAGTGGGTAGGCGATTTTGTGGATCTTTTTTTCTTATAGTAAAGAATCCTCTAAATACACTCCCTAAAACCAGAAAATGTAATAAAAAAAATATGAAAAGTTTTTTCCGCAATACAATTTTTTATTACTCTATATTTTATTACTCTATAAGATGACTAAAGTTTGATTAAAACTTAGCTTTAATCAAGGATAGATTTTAATCATCTGCCGATAATTACTAATGAATATTAAAACATAGTCAAATTTGTGACATACCAATAGTATCACCGGTATCTTCATCATCACCTACTTCAACGCATCTAATGGAAAATGGTGGTTCCAAATGTGCAAATCCCAATAGTGGTGGTTTGGAACAACTAGTTACGAACTGAAACAATATAAAAACGATAATTAATTATTAAAACTATGATTGTTATACCTATATGAATGAAAATATAAATCTTAAAAAAATTGAAAAAATTTCTTTTACAAAAATTACCTTTAAAATACAATATAAGCGCGCACATATTTTGGACTACATGCAACGCATTAAAATGTATGAGACACATTTATGCAATAATAATTATAATAGGTATTATCACTATTTTTAGATAATTATGATATCATGGACAAGAATGTTTGTTTACAACATGGCTCTTCTTTATGCTAGAAAAAGTGGTAATACCGTCTGCCCAACGAGAAAATACAATGATAATTATTGTGGTCTGTCATTATAATCTAAATGTCTTTATCTCGTAAAATTTAGTAGTAAATTGTTTAGACAGCTGGTTAATAAAACAAAAACTGTGAAATGAAAAGTAATGATAAAAAACAGGGTCTTGTGTTAATATCTAATATTTCCCACAAATGTTATTATTTATGCTACTCGCGAACATTTTTACAACACCGAAAGTTCGCATAAAGCATACTCAGTATACGGCGGCGGTAGAAAATGATATGCTTTCAAATCAGAGACGTGAAAGGTACCTCGCCCCACGTTGGGCGCTAAGATGTAACAGTAAGGTTCGGACAGCTGGTAAATAAAACAAAAAAACTGTGGGAAGTTTTTATACTAAAGAAGTAATACGGCTGTAAAACCACGTAATCTATGACCAAAATATTAATAATTTCATATATTTTGTCTTAGTTCATCTAACCGAAGGCTGTTTTAACTTCCGCCGTATAAAATAAAATAGCGATATTCAAATCCCATAGTCGATATCAGTCGCAAAAAGCGAAATTTATAGAAACGAAGTAAGAAGATCATTTATATATCTATTTATTAGATAAGCAATGATAAAACACAGAGTCCCCCGTGCAATATCTAATATTTCCCATAAATGTTATTATATATGGTACATCTACCTGCCTGCGAACATCAGACATTTTTAACAACACCGAGAGTTCGCATAAAGCATATTCAGTGAAAGGTGGGCGGTAGAAAATTATATCAAATGAGAGACGTGAAAGGTACCTCGCCCCACGTTGGGCCCTAAGAGATAACAGTAACGTTCGGACAGCTAGTAAATCAAACAAAAAACTATGGGAAATATTGTTTTCAATCTATCACGTTGATGGGGATGGCTGTAATATGGCTTAGCAAAAGTTTTAACACCAGGTCATCTATGCCCAAAATATTAATAATTTCATATATTTTGTCTTAGTTCGTCTAACTAAAGGCTCTATTTTAACTTCCGCCGTATAAAATAAAATAGCGATAATTAAATAACATAGACGATATCCGTCGCAAAGTGAAATTTTTAAAAATGAACTACTATCTATATATTTATTAATAAGAAAAGTAATGCTAAAATGCAGAATCCGGTGTCAATATTCAATATTTCCCACAAGTATTATTTATGCTACAATGCATCCTATCTATTATTATATAGAGGGTTATACAACTAAGCTTAATCAAAAAGTAATATGTAACAGTTAATAAGTGAAAATAAACTAATGGTTAATTTCATCGAACTTCAATTCCAAGTCGACTTGACGCTATTTTTTTTATTATAAGGTTGTACATTGTAAGGTGTACTACATCAATAATATGTCTTAAAGTTAAAATTGTGCTCAATTTGTAAATGATAATTGTGGTCCAATTACAGCCCTTAAGTACTATTTACTTATAATGTAGAGTTCCAAATTAAGAGGAATCAGAATATTTTTAACAAACATTATCGATAAATATTGAAAATCTCGGTAAAAATACGGTTCCAAAAATAATCAAATTAAAATTTTTTGATAATCCTCGACTGAAAAGTATTAAGCTTGAATTTGAATCTTTAGATCCTTATCCCTAGCTAAATAATTTATGTTACATCATCATCAACTTTAAACAATGTATTAAATTTCTCAGAGAATAAATACATGGTCCTAATTTTAACTTTGCCACATACCACTGAGTGAAAATTTTCTAACCTTTAAAAACATTCCTCTCTCGTCGTCATTGAAGTCTTTTTCCAATATATCCCATAACCAACAAATCACTCTGTGGGAATCGTGGAAACCCCCATAATACTGGCAGTTTTTGCGCAAGTCTTTCAAATCTAAAGGTACATTATCACCTGATATTAGTCTTTGAAGCTAAAAATTCAGAATTTAAAGATAAATTCAAGAGTTTATATAAATATAAAATCTCACTTCTGGCGTCGAAAAAAGAGACAACCAATCTGGATTAATAATGGACCTAAAACCTTTGATAAAAGCTGCAGTTTGATCTTTGATTTGGACGTGCATCCGAAAATGAGCCATATGATGAATATAATTGATTCTAAAATCGATTTTTATTTCACTCAGTAAGATATGAACAAATGGGTAAATGCATTTGAAGGGTTCAAGGAAAAAAACATGATAAGCGCCATTTTATTAATTTTACAGGAGAGCACCGGACGGCTGGTGGTTATCAAGTTCTTTCCGTGTATTCTATATTTTTACTAGGCATGTATCATAGGATTAAACAACTTATTGTCCTGCAGAGTTTATACATTTTGTAGGGACCAGTCAGCCCTACTTTAATGTTGTAAAATCCTAAAATTAAGAAAATGGCGCTTATTAGGTTATTCCCCTGGACCCTTCATTTATTTTACATGAGAGTCAGCGATGGCTATGAAATGAAGATCGCTGTCATTTTATAACTAAATTTATATGGGAAATGTCATCGATCGTCATTTCCCAGCCAACTGGACGCCGGTTTTTTTATCATATGGTATAATAAGTCGAAAAAACGATTTTCTTGTCGAAATAACAACTTTTTTAAGCATAGATTAGTGATCATCAGTATAAAATCTTCAATATAAACTAATACATACAGTAAACTTACATATTATCTTTTGTCACTGGTTCTGCCTTGCCTCCAGGTATCAGTTCGTAAGTTATAACTTTACCCATGTGATCTTCATCTACACTAAAAGTTAAATTCAGTTCAGAAACATCTTCTTCATAATGCTTCACATAACTCAAACTTCTGTACAAAGCAGGATCTAAAGACGGAAGTTCATCCACACAGCTGTACATAGCTTGAGCTGTTTGACCAGACACCTAAGTGTAATTTTTAATATATTTAATTAATTACATGTGTTTAGTAAAGTAAATCCGGCATGTATATATAAATCAATAGAAGAATCTGGAACTGACAGTTAAAATACTTCTCAAACCATACTTCTCAACTCTTCAAAAACCTTCTCAAATCTCTTTATTCTCTGTTGGATCCATCCTCAAGAGCCGCTGGTAGTATGAGCTGTTTGAAATGAAAATTCCAAATATCAATAAAACTACAAATATTAAATTGTAAAAAAAAATCTAACAATGTTTGATATTTTTGATCGAAAACAATATTTATACTTTGTCAGAGTTCTATAACTTATAGTCCTGCATGCTTCTTTAAGCATATTTAAATTCTGGTTGTATAATAGAATGTAGAATGTTTAGGAGGGGAGTTAATCACCGCGACCTTATAGATCTGTATTGTGTGTTCCCCTTTCTTGAGTTATAACGAGTTATAACTCATCATACAGTCTCAGGGCTTTAAGAAAAGCCAGTATCTGAGACGGCTCCACAGAGGCCAGCTCTCCATCCTCGACATCAGATGTACCGTGGTTCATGGCACGAATGGTCGTCGTCTCGGCGCACTCAGTGAAAAGGTGTTCTAGTGTTTCCCCATTTTCCCCACAAAATCTGCATTCGCCGTTGTTTCTCAGTTTCAGCCTACTGAGGTGTTCGTTGAGGAGACAGTGTCCTGTTAGAAACCCCGTGACAATCCGAAGATTACTTAAATCAAGGAAAACCTTTGATTTTTCTTGGTCATAAGTTCTAAGGAACTTTTTCTGGTTGTATAATAAGTGTCCTCTTGATATTTTTATTCTATATACTTTTTATACTTAAGAATAATTTTTGTTAGTAATTCAAAAATAATATATGTATAAGTTTACATTTTAATTTTGTGTATAATAATATTTAATATTTTAATTCATTTGACGAAACCCACCTATACGTACTATACAGGGTGTCCCAATATTATCAAACTTAACGTAAATCAAACTTAAAAAAATAAACACATTTTTTTAGATATTTTAAGAACCGACATGCGACATTACGATTTTAATGAGATTTTGGCTGTATATGTTTTGCCAAGTGCCGGTTTTGCCGGTTTAACATTTGACTTTCACAATAATCAATAAGAAAAAGTACGGGAAGGGTAAAAACTAGCCCCACTTCTAAATGATATAAAAAATATATTCCAACTCCACCGACGACAGATTTTCTTTTCTTAAAATGGTCCCTCTAGTATTTACTACATTTTTTATCTCTTATAAAAAAACGCCACATCGCGTAGTTTTTGAAAAAAAAATTGGATAATTTGTTTTTCTAAAGCAGACCTAGAAAATATAAAGGGAGTTCCAATATTTTGTAGACAGCAACTACGTATTTTTGGAATCATAATCAGTTAATTATATTAATTAATTTACATTTATACAAAAGAGCTTCTTTTGTCCGTTAGAGGGCATCAATCAAAAATAAACCTGAACGATAATTAATTTAAAATTTATTAATTTTTTTAAGCTTTTTATGAAGCATATTATCAAATATAATTTGTGATACTAACATAAAATTCAATATTTTCGCCAACTAGATTATTACATCAAGATATAGATTTTATACGGCTTCACAGCTTAATATGACAAAAAAAACATTTTTTGGAAGTCAACCTTGGAAAAATTATTTTTTGCAAAAAATGTAGTAAACACCAGAAAGACCATTTTGCGAAAAGAGAATCGGTCGTCAGTTGAGTTGGATAATATTTATACTAAAATTTATATAGGGGTAAGGGTAGTTTTCACCCTTCCCGTACATTTTCTTGATTTTTTTTGAAAGTCAAATGTTAGAGAACTTGGCAAAACATAGACACCCAAAATCTCATTCAAATCGGAATAACGCGGTTGTTAAAATATCTGAAAAAATGTATTTATTTTTTTAAAGTTCAAGGCCCTCTAACGGACAAACGAACCACTTTTGTAGAGAGGTTAATTGTGTCCAGTGAACTTACTCTGATTCCAAAAATTCATAGTAGTTCTAGGTCCACAAAATCTTGGGACACCCTGTATATCAGTCAGAAAGGAAAATAAATTATTTTATTCTCATTTTAAATACTAACTGCGTAGTTACTCGTCCCATTTAATGCATTTTACAGTGCGACATAGCCCAAATTAAAATCGGCCTTGAGCTATCGCTGTCATTTCCAGATTATACTTCATAACATTTATCAAAGTTATATAAAAGTTACCTGACTGAGAAAGAATGAAGCAAAAGGCACATCTACTACTATACCCTCATAAATAGCCTTTCCCAACATACGTCCTGTAAATTCAAACAATTGTAGATGGTTATCTTGCAAATGAGAAATAGATGATGGATACAGCCGTTCTTCACTTGTCGCTTTGAACAGATTCAGAGCCGGATCAAACACTTTTTTAATACTTTCTTCTAAGAATTCTTTAAACACACCATCCTGGTCTATCCCAGCCTCATCCAAACCATATTCGTTGATAAATCTAACTCTTATCACTCCCTTTAAAGCTTGTGGCGGTAAATCCGCCAATTGACGATAACCATCTTCAACAATTCGGTTTCTAAACAAGATAATTATCCTGTCAGATATATATAAAATAACAGCATCAAGCAAAACTTAACCTGTGAACTGTTATTAATGTGGATTGTGGAGAAGCACAAGCTGACTCAGTTAGTCCTAAAACAGTCTTTTCGTTGGCAATATATTTCCTAAATAGTCTTACTCGGTCTTCGTGAGGTATGATATGTGGCATTGTTTGTAATAATAACTGTGGAGCACGTTTGCCTTTTTCAAGATCAATCAGAAAAGAAGATACTTTGATATCTTTAATTAGCCAGTGACCTGGTGGAGTATAACTATGCCAACAGTCCCTTTTGTATAAAACCATTAAGAGTGTATGTAAAGATTGAAATAGTGTATTATTTTGAATAGTCTTAATATCTATAAAATACAATATTACAGAAATTAAAAAAACCGAAATGATATATTAATATCTTACAGTTTAACTCAATGCCAATTTGGACAGCACATACTTTCTGTTTTAGATAAATATATAAAAATAAATTGTGATATTTTTGTGTGAACAAAGAACAATGTGTGACACATTTTGGATTCACCACCATAACTTAATTTTCAAAGCAATAGTTAATAAAACCAGACCATCAATTTAGAATAACCACCCATCTCTATTTAAATGCCTTTAAAAAAGCATGTGCTGCTACAATTTCTATTGGACCAAACTGTACTATTCTTATTTATTTTTTCTACTAAATTTTGCTTACCAAACAAATTTCCTAGGACTGCTTTATATAAAAATATGTTTAAAAAATTAGACATAGCTACAAAATCAGATAAATGAAAAGGCGACTGTTTTTCATACATTTCCATATCATCTAATAACCTGGAACAATTATATTGCTTGTAAAAATTAAATTTTTATTTGAAGCAGTTTCTCAAGTATCACACTTACGTAACATAATGAGTCATACAATCAGCAAAAAGCTGTAACATTTGAAATTCTGGTGCTGAACACTTGGTGTTAAACGCTAGATGATCCAAAAATGTTTTAAGACCACAATTTGGCCCCAAAGAGGAAAGAAACAGCCACAAGTCATATAAAATAGAATTCTGATAGCATAACCCTAATAAATAAAAATAAGTATATAGCAAGTCGGAAGGTATCGTTTAAAAGTAATATTTTTTAAGTATTACCTGTTAAAATATCTAATTGTAATTGAGTCAAAGTACGTAAAGCTGTATGATACAAAGAACAAATAAGTACAACTCTGTGTACTTCTGGACTTCCTAATGCTCTATATGTCTTTTGTGTAGAAGTTTTGTTACTTCGATTTTCTAACATTTTTTTAAAAAAACTACTACCACCAAAGTGTGGATTTTGTGTTGGGCTGAATTGATGTGGCGGTTCAACTCCTTGAACTAGTTCAGATAAAAAATTACCTGGCCATGTAAAAATATATTAGTTATATAGAATTATCAGGTCTAAAAAGTAACATACCCAAAAGAATTTGCATTAGCTCAATATTCCATAATAAATGAAGTTGTATCTTGATGTGCGGTATGGCATCATGTAAAGCAGGGTCTTGTGGTTGAGCAAACCAGCCCAAAACTGGATGCCAATGTGTTAAAGTTGACTTTTTACTAACAACATAATTTTGACAGCTCTCTAATAAGCCTGTAACAACAACCTAAAACTGAATAAATTAATAAAATTCTATATATGTAAATCTATATTTAATACAGTAAATGTTGGAAAACACAAGTCTTTTAATGTAGTCTTCCTTTCAAGATATGCCATTTGAATTAGATTTGCTAAAAGACACAAAGCATAACTTCCTTCTAAAATATTAAACACTATTCTCATTGACTGTTGACTAGAAAGTATCTCTAAACTTCTTGTAAATAATTTATATTGTTGAATAGTAGATATGGACTAAAATATCAAAGTTTTAAGTAATAATTGTATAATGTTATTAGACCATTCATATACCTCTGGAGAAAGGATTTCTAAATGATAAATTAGTCCTGGCACAGACAGAATATTTATTAAAAATATAGTCATGAACTTGTCTGAAAAATTTGCTGATACCAATGGTCTCATTGCAAGAGTAAAAATTGCAGAAATTGAAACTGTTTTAAAAGCGATTTTTATTCTTCCTAAACCCTTAATAAGTAGAGTCTAAAATATAGAAAATTTACTACAGAAAACAAAATTCCTTTGTAGGAATACTTTTAATGTAATATAAAATCCTTTGTGAAACAATTGACCCATAAGATTGGCACATAACTGATTCATGCCACTTTTCAACACTTCCATATTTTTATTCTTCAGAACAACCCATGTATTTGTACTTGTAAATGAAACCAGTACACGTAAATATAACACTATCGTTTTCATATCAGCAGCAAGTTCTAGTTTTAACTCTTCTAAGTACTCACAGCACTTCCATAACAAATTATTCATATGAGAGATCCATTTTATCACATGTTCCTTATTTAAAGCTAAAACATATTTTTTTGTACACATATAATTTTTGTTTGCTAACAACTAACATACCTACACCAACATAACTATATTTGGGGGAATCTGAATCAAGTGATGCCACCAAATAGCGACATAATTTGGCAAAGCGTTCTGCATCTCTTTTCTTGCTCCATATTAATAATAATCTAATACTTTGACGGTAAATATCAAGTGCTGGTTTCAAATGCTGCTTTGAATATTTCTCTGATAAATCTGGTATAACGCTATCAAATTCATCTCTAAAAGAATGGATTCTTTTTGTACAAAATATTTAATTGTATTAAGTTTGAAAATGTTTGACATTTGTATTTACTTACAAGATCTCCTTAGAAAACTTTATTCTAGTCAACCAGCCACGAACATTAGCCTGAATAAGAATTATAGCACTTTCACGTCGTTTTTCTAATGCCCTTTCTTCCCTTGCAGCTTTGGTTTGCTCTAAAAAGTTTCCTTTCGAATCTTCGGCCTTGTGAAACATATTTGCTGGCGTAAGTTTAAAGAATGCTCTTTTTATTGAGAATTAAAATAGACATTGTTATCTTTTTTTCTATATTTTGTTTGAAGAATAAATAAACAAAATCATAAACTCTTAAAAATTTTGACATAAGCTTTTTTACCATAGAAAAAATTTACATAACACAGCTGTTACAAAAACATATCATTCCTAGATCATATACTTTATATATGATCATAAATCACAGCAAAATTTTCAAAGTAAAAGAAATAATTACTTATACAGTATAGAATAAAAGGATAGTATCATAGGATAGTATCAATAGATTAATTTACTTTCTCATTATTTCCTAGTTACCCTTTATCCTTTATGGACAACCAATTATGTTGCGGAGCGTTTTGGAACGTTCCGAATACGCTTCCAAACTATCGATACGCAAAAAACAACCCTAATTTCCTTAGCTAATTTCAATTTCTGACATTGACATTCCAACCACAGAAATCAGCTGTTTCTTGATTTGTGTTATTGTGTTTATAAAATAAAGTTTGTGTTCTTTACAACATGTTTAATATGTGAAAAAATATTGTATTTTAGTGGAACAAAGATTAATACAAATCATGCAAGGAAGCCCGTCGTTCTACCAAAATTATTTTAACCTGCCACAAGAACTTAAAGTAAAACCGTTGGCCCTTATTGGATTTTCTGGTTTAGATATTGTAAATAATGCCATTCATAAATCAGTTTGGGAAACATTTATTAATCGTAATGAAAAGGCGGCAGTATCATATAAGCTTATAAGTAACACCCACAAATTTCCGGTAATTAAACCCAAAAGAAATTCTTATGATTGGTATGTTCCAAAGGGCATATTAAAAAACAACTGGATGATTAAACACCTTAACGAACTTCCTGCAGTTATTGTTATTTTCTATGACTTGGATTGGAAGGATAGTCTTTGGAATGAAAAGATGATTGAATGTGCTTCCAGAGTGCAGTCTTTAAGGTGCATTTGCATTGGATTTAAAACATTTGCATATTTACTATCTAATACTTTTAGGGCTGCTTTAGAAGGAAGAGATACTCGCATAGTTGTAGTATTAATTCAAAATGTTTTGCCTCTTCCAGAAGATCCTTTAGCTGCAGAAAGAGCAGTAGCACTTTGTTCCAGTTGTGAATTAAATTCCCAATCTTTATATATATTACCTCATGGTCCTCATTTACTAGTATGCATGTACTATATATGTATGTACTTAGTTATTATAAACCTTATTCATTTTAGGGCTATACTATTCGACTAGAGAATACATTCTTTGAGTTTTGTCAAAATTATTATTATAACTGTGCTAAAAATGTAAAACTTCATAAAGACCATCTTAACAAAAACACACACCAATATCTCTTTGTTAGGCATCAGTTTAAAATGGCATTTTTTAATGAACTGAAACAGGATATACAGTCAGCTCATAAGTAAAGCATATTAAATTAAAAATATTTCTCTACTGGTATAATTGGTTGTATATTTTAGGCATTATAGTCTTTCGTATAACAATTTATTAGATATCAGAATAGTTGACACAAATGCTTTGGAAATTCGTACAGTGGCAGGATTTATAAGCTATAAGATATGCAAATTAATGTTTGCCTTAAATTTGCCTCGAGATGCAATTGCACAATTTAAGTCTCACATTGACAAATTTAAAAACAGATCTGGTTTTCAAGAACTGGCTTTTGAGCATTTTGCTTGGTTATCAAAACAGTAAGTAAAAGATTCAATTGTAGTATTTCTATACTGTAACGTCTGTAACATATTGACCTATTTTTAAGATATGAAATTTTTGGGGAGATTTTTGATGATGCTGTTAAACAAGGCCTTCCAGCAGTTCAAACTCAACATCCTGGAATATATTATCAACAAGGGGCACAGTATGCAATACTAAGGAAGAAAGCGTGCCAGGAGCTGTGTTCAGTGTGTAGATATATAATAATGGATGCTTAGATCTGTTAATTTTTTATTTTAGAAAATCATTGCTTATCCTCATCCAGATCCTTTAGAAGGTATAGAAAGAATAGATTTTTATGGTCAAAGACTTTGGCGACCTGGTAAAATGTCTAGTGAACCTCCAGAACCTATTGTTGAAGCAAATGGTATTCAAGCCTTGCAATTTTTAGAAAATCAAATTAATCATTCAGTAATTACATTAGTTTATATAATTTAATTGAAAACTTATAAAAAATAATTTTAAGAGCATTATAATTTCTCTGTATGGACTTGCCATTGCACAGTATAAGATTTATAAATGTCCAAGAACAAGAAGACATCTAGTATTACAGATGGCTGAGGAATGTTATGATTCAAAAGATTTTGGGAAAGCTTTAACGTAAAAATTATCTTAGTCTTAGTTATATATTTATAAATTAGTGATTGATATTTCAGGCTATTATCACATATGCTGTCAGATTATAGGGAGGAAAAATGGTGGGGTATAATATCTAACATTTTAGAGAAAGCAATAAAATGTGCATACTTAACAGCAAACGTACAAGATTATATACAATTGGCACTTGAAATATTGAGTTCTTCAATTAACGTAGCCTTAGAAGATAAAAAAAGAATTTATGAAAATTTGAATAGAATATTTAAGGTAAGTTTTGGTAAGGATCGCTAATAGTCCAGTCATCTTAGTCGAAATAGGGTAGGAATCTCGGAATTCAAGATAACCAGCGGTAAACTCGTATAAACCTTTATTTTAACATCCTAAAACATGTCTCAAAACCTACATATGATAGCGTGTGCGCGACTTGTAGATAACTGAGGTCAAAGGTCAAAAAATCGATTTTTTGCGCATTTTTTTGCAAATATCTCGTTCCCTTTCACATTTACAAATATTGTAGAGAATAAAATTCTCTACAACTTTTATTTCAAAAATTTTTTTGTACCTCAAACAGTTTTTGAGATAGAGGGCGGTGAGCGCGTAGTCTTTCATTATGTACGGTATCATTCAAGTTCAACCGTTAATTATTATTGAAAAATATATAATTATAAATAATTTACATTTTTTCATAAAAGATCATATTGAATATAATAATTTTTTTCATAAATTAAGTATATCTTCATTTAATAACACTAACCTCTTTGTACAATTAGAAAATTATTAACAGAAATACTTTAATTATATTTTAATTAAAGTTAGATTTATACTAATTACATTTTAAGTAAATAAAAAAACAAGAAATATATTTTTAATTTATATTTCATCTATCATCGTCTGGTCGTTGTGGAATTTCAAATTCTTCTTCATTTTCGTCTTCAACGACATTTGTCTCGAAGTCTTCTAGGATTTCGGGGTCAAATGTACCATCTTCATTGACATCGCTCTGATAGAGTAGCATTGAGACAAGTTTGCCCATTACACTGGCCACAAACTAAAGAGCACCGAAACCCTGACTTCCTGCATCCACATCGCGAACCACAACCATTCTTACAGTTGCAGAATATTGTGTTCAGCAAATTTTTCTAGAATAGTAGTGGTTTAATCCATTACGCATTACCAGGAATCCATTACGCATTATCCAACCCCAATAATAATTTTTTCTAACTGTACAAAGAGTAAGTGTTATTAAATGAAGATACGCTTAATTTATAAAAAAAATATTTTTATGAAAAAATGTAAATTATTTATAATTATATATTTTTCAATAATTAACGGACTTTATACGGCGTGTTTTTGACCGACTGCGCGCTCACCACCCTCTATCTCAAAAACGGTTTGAGGTACAAAAAAATTTTTAGAACAAAAGTTGCAGAGAATTTTATCCTCTACAATATATATAATAAATATAAATAGCGTAAATGTGAAAGGGAACGAGATATTTGCAAAAAATGTGCAAAAAAATCGATTTTTTGACCTTTGACCTCTGATCTACAAGTCGCGCACACGCTATCATATGTAGGTTTTGAGACATGTTTTAGGATGTTAAAATAAAGGTTTATACGAGTTTACAGCCGGTTATCTCCAATTCCGAGGTGAAACCCCTATAATGACTGCATTAGCGTAACTAACAATTTATCCTGGGGTGGGCCTGGGGGGGGGGGCCTGGGGTTGACCCCAGGGCGGCCTAGGGCTTTTGTTTTTTTAAAAATGAAAAATAATTTTAAAAAACACATTTTTTGAATAAAATTTTACATGAATTTCTCTATCAATAAATTTCATAGACTTGGTTATCAAACTGTGTTCCCGTAGATTACTTAAATACCTACAATTTTCTAAAAAAATAAAAATTAACAGATTTTTTGAACACAATAAAATAATATTAACTAAACAAAACTAGAAAACGTCATTTTTACTACATCACAAGGAAATAAAAATTAATACGTAGCCAAGAGTCATATTTCAGGATTTCTCTGGGGGGTGTCCAGCAGTACCTGGGGGGGGGTGCCCCCCCCTGTAGTTACGCCAATGGATGACTGGACTATAAATATAATACCACTCCTAAAAATATTTCAGAAACAAATTCCTTATGGAGACCCAAAATTACCCCATGATGTATTACAGAATGCAATAATTCTCTGGCAACCAGTATTTAACAATGTTGAGCCTTCTGTTTTTACTTTAGATATGACTAAAATTATTTCATGTGTTGAATCGAAACTTAGATTTACGAAACCAACATTTGAAATAGATCAAAAAGTTTCAATAGATATTTTTATAAAGTGAGTCAAATATCACATTATTGATTTTTTAATATTTTAATATCAACTATTTGTTTTTTAGAACCACTTGTCCATTTCCTTTAGTATTTTCAGATATATCACTAAAAGTTAATTCACCATGCACAAGTAATGAATTGTTTATTGACAAATCCGAAAAAAAATCTCTTATTTTTCATCCCAATGAAGTGAAAAAGTTTGTCATAGAATTTGAAGCAGATCCAAATGATATTAATAAGGAAATTCAGGTACTGAAAAAAACTGAAGGCCATTAGTTTCTAAGTAAATTAAAAAGTAAAACTATTAATTTTATTTTTTTTTCACTATTTTGAAGCCTTTTTAAGTTCCGATAATCTCCCTCTTTGCATAAAACCATTTATAAAATAAACAAAACCCTGATGGTGCATCCACACTATCCTAGAAATAAATGAATAATAAACCTAGAAAATAAATGAATGAATAGATTTCCAGTAATTCTATTGGCTGAAATTTTTGACAGATGAATTTGACAGATAAAATTTCTGACAGATGAATTTTTCAGCCAATAGAATTGCTAGAAATCGATTTAAGGTCGTTACGCCGATACGCCGATCCGCTTTTTCTAGGATAATGTGGATGCACCCTGATATTACCTTAGTTTCAGAAAAAAACATTTTTTTTAAATTTTCACTTAACTTTCAACTTAAATAACTCGGTTATTTTGGTTGCGATTTATCTGAAAAATGGTAAGGAGAAAATATGTTTCTTTTATCGAGATCTACCAGCCCTGAAAATATTTGCACATGTTTAAGACTCACCCTGTATATAAGTTTGTTAACATTAAATATAGATGCTAAACTTGTATATTTTTAATTAGATCTTTCCATTTAGCTGAATGCCCTAATATGTATACTACTGGTTTTTTTTTTACCTAAAATATTGTCAAGGTCAAGGTGTATTACTGGTTGCATAACTGTATTACTGCTACATAACCGCAACGTGCATTGAGGAACCTGGCGCATTCGCCAGAAAGTAAAAGAAATTATACAGAATACTAGAATAGAATTTTCCGAAAGATCCACAGCTATATAAAAGGGCGCGCTATCGGCTGTGGGGACAGTTGACAGTTGAAGTCTGAAGTTTGATAATACCGCGTTTTAAATTGTGAAATACCGTTAGAGTAATAGTAGTTGCATAAATTGTGTTGTAAATAGTATAAGTTGTGTGTACAGAGTGAGACAAATAAATTCGTTAAGTATTTTATCGTGAGTTTAAATTAGTGGACCCACGGAATCCGTAACAATTGGTGTCGGAAGTGCGATTCAAGAGGATTTTAAGAAGAAATTAAGTGGAGTGGAAGATTTTTAGACCGAATTAGAGTATTTTTGTGGTTGGTACGAGACAACAAGCGAAGAAAATGGAGGAAGTAAGCAAACTACTGGGCGATTTTATGGAGAATATGAGAAGAGAAAAGGCAGAAGAACAAGAGAAGCTGCGAAAAGAGAAAGCAGAAGAACAAGACCGCCTACTGAAAATTCTAGAAAATCAAGACAAAATTTTCCAAGATATGAAAATTCAACGATAACAAGACAAAGAAGAAGAACAGGACCGGCTTGAGAAAATTTTAGGCAATTTAGAAATCCGTCAGAAGAATGAATGGAGGGAAATTTTAGAAGATATAGAGACGCACCGCCAGGAAGAAAGACAAGAAGATCAAAACCGTCTTAAGAAGAACTTTGAAGAACTAGAAAAAAGGCAAGAAATCCACCTTCAAGAAGCCGTAGAAGATCTGGAGGAACGCCTTCAGCAGAAAATGGAGAAATTAGAGATGGACCTACAGAAGACCAAGGTACAAGTAAGGACACCTGGCGTTCCTGGAACTGCGAACCTTAAGGCCCCGACCTACGATGGACAAACGACCTGGACGATGTACCACCGCCAGTTTGAAGCAGCCGCCGCTGCCAACGGATGGACCGACCAGAAGAAAGCAGCGGCACTTGTCATCGCGCTGCGTGGCACTGCTCTGGAACTGCTGCAAACTATTCCTGCAGCCCAACAGCAGGAATACCAAACTTTGGTCGCTGCACTGGACAGAAGATATGGCGACCAACATCGACGTCAACTTTACCAGGCCCAGATCAAGACACGCCTGCAGAGGTCCGGAGAGAGTCTGCAGGAATTCGAAGCAGATTTACGTCGGCTGGTACACCTAGCGTATCCTGAAGCACCGGAAGGATTTAGGGAGGAACTCGCTGCCCAGCGCTTTATCAGCGGACTGAGTGACAACGAATTGCAGAGGGCGCTGCAAATATCCCGATTTTCTACCAGCAGCGAAGTACTCGTCAGGGCGCTGGAAATTGAAGCTGCTTTTAACGCCACTCCTAGACCGGAGATAAGATCGGTAACGGTCGAGGAACAGCCCGAAAGTACTCACAGAGGGTTGGAGGAGATGTATAAGAAATTCGATAAACTATGTGAGTTACTAATAAACAAGGTAGTCAGCAACATCCGAAGATTCCAAGATATTAGGTGCTATAGATGTGGCAGGAATGGCCATATCCAACGGGATTGCCGCATTCAAATGCCATTCCGTTCATCATCAAGAGAACATCGGCACATCGGAAGATCCCAGGGCATAAGTTGCTATAGATGTGGCAGGAATGGCCACATCAAACGGGATTGCCGCGTCCAAATGCGATTCCGTTTACCATCGAGAGAGCATAGGCACCAGGAAATCAACACTAATGAGCGAGTATTGGCTGAAGAAAACAGAGCCTCTAAGATGTTTTCCGTTAGGAGTCTAGGAAGAACCGCTGACAGTTTGGTGATTAACGGGAAGGTCAATGGTAGAAGAATTCGAATGACTGTGGACACAGGCGCTATGGTTTTGTTGGTGCGGACTAACTCAATGCAAGGATTGAAGATGATGCCTCTTAGAAGAAGAGTGTATTTACGTACAGTTACGGGGGAAATGGCCGTTGTACGGGGAGAGGCTTTCATGGAACTGGAGTTAGGGAATTTGAAGTTTCGGCATAGCGTTTTAGTGGCAGACATTGAAGATGATTTTATCATGGGTATGGATGTGATCAGTCAACATGCTGAAAATCGGAAATGAGGAATTTGCTGTATCTAAAGAGAAGAGACCAGGAAATATGGAAGCAAGATCAGCGGAAATTGTGATGATACCTGGTGATACCAAGAAGACTGTGTTCGGGAAAATGGAGAAAACCTCTGGATGCCGTGTAGGACGGGTACAAATTATCGACAACGAGCCAGATCGACGACGAGCTACCTTGGACAAGAAAATGAAACATCGCGAAAGCACTGTCAGAGTAAGGAATTTTAAACTAAGAACTGACGCACAATGGACGACGACACAATTAAGGAAAGATCAAATGGAAGATTCAGACATCGGAGCAATACGGCTCAAGGAACGGCGAGAGACCACCGTGCCAGGATATTGCGGACAGAGGGCTGGTTTTCAAAGCTCTCTGGGCTCAGTGGAATTCACTGGTGATTGAAAATGGATTGTTAAAGCGCACGTGGGAAAGTGCGGATGGCAGGACAGTAACAACTAAGTTACTGGTACCAAGGAAGAAAGTTACCCAGGTATTGGAAGAAATTCACGGTGGTAAAACTGGAGCCCATCTTGGAGTAAACAATACCTTGAGCAAGCTGAGAGACCGTTTTTACTGGGTGGATTATTCCGAAGATGTTAAGAAATGGTGTCAACGTTGTAAGATTTGCGCAGCTAGACAAGGACCAAGTACTCGATCTGGAGGAAAAATGGAACAAGATAACGTTGGACTGTCGTTCGAAAGAATTGTTAGGAAGGAAAGATTACTGGACGTTCATAAGGCCGTTAGAAGTAAGATTGCGTTAGCCAGTGACCGGATGAAAGCTCGTTACGACCTCAGAGCAAATTCTACGGGATTTCAACAGGATGATATGGTATACCCACAGCGCAAGAAAGGAAGGTCTCCAACGTTAACTACAGCATGGGAAGGTCCTTATACAGTCATCAAGAGGGTAAATGATGTTGTGTACCGGATTCAACGCAGCCCTAGAAGTAAGATGAAAATAGTACATCTGGATCGATTGAGGAGATACCGGACAGGAAACCTTGATCAAATTTCATCAAATTTGAGAAGGGGGCAATGTCAAGGTCAGGGTGTATTACTGGTTGCATAACTGTGTTACTGCTACATAAACGCAGCGTGCATTGAGGAACCTGGCGCATTCGCCAGAAAGTAAAAGAAATTCTACAGAATACTAGAATAGAATTTTCCGGAAGTCCACAGCTATATAAAAGGGCGCGCTATCGGCTGTGGGGACAGTTGACAGTTGCAGTCTGAAGTTTGATAATACCGCGTTTTAAATTGTGAAATACCGTTAGAGTAATAGTAGTTGCATAAATTGTGTTGTAAATAGTACAAGTTGTGTACAGAGTGAGACAAATAAATTCGTTAAGTATTTTATCGTGAGTTTAAATTAGTGGACCCACGGAATCCGTAACAATATGTTAAAATAATTATTCACATATACATATATCTAATAGGATCTCTAGGAAACAGAAAGAAACTTTTATTACAGTTTAGTCCTCTACTCGGGCAGTTTTTTGCTGCACAACTTCGCCCAGGCATTGTAAAAACACGGAAAAATTAACTAATTACTGATCAAACCACTCCTATATTAAAGATTTAAAAATGTTCAGAAAAATATAAATACTAAAATAAATTATTGTACAAAAGAAACGAAAATAAAACTAGAAAAAGCAAATATATAACACAATAAACAAAAATAAAACAACAACTATAGAATATATAACTCAAGAAATAAACAAAATAAATTAAGCCGTACTGACTCGAATCTGACGTAACTGTGTGATTTGGTTTGGTTTGGTTAGTCGATGAAAAAAACTACGACACTGGTTACTTTCTGTTGATGGAAACTCAAATGGCGGCGTGCGCGAGGATATGCGCGTAGCGTTCCCGCCAAAGCGAGTTAGCCTGCCGATTGATTTATATGCCGTGCTATAACTCTACCCTGACTGTCATATTCAAAAACCTGCTGGGTTCTATTATCTAAATAAGATTTTATTAGCTCCAACGCCATACCCCAAATGCCATACCTACCTATCCGGTTCCCAGGTATAGTATTTTATGGTTTACACGATTGAATGCTTTTGATAAATCAATGCACATTGCTACAGTTAGCTTTGTTTCATTCAATGAATTTAGTACTTTTGTTAGTTCCTGATAAATCGCTCTTACTGACGATTTCCCATTTCTAAAATCGTTTTGACTATTGGAGATAATATTTATCTATATTATATTTATCTCACTACAAATGGTAACATAGAAATCAGTGAAGATTAAATTTAATAAATATGAACTTAATTTAATAAGGGACTTTTTACAATAACAAAACAATAAGCCTATGTTTCGTTGTAACTTTCGTCCTTTTTAGGAAATATAATTTATTTTAAATTTTATTTTATTTTCTTTTTCATTTATTTTCAGATTGAGTGGATGAATATTACTATAGGGAAAGACTCTGAATGTTTAGTCAACCTTAAATTTGAAACACAAATACTGAATGTAGATAATTCAGAAAGCAAATGTTTCCAAAAACAAGGAAAAAATTCCGATTTTAACACTTTAAAATCTATACACAATTCAATTGTTGTCCCTAGGGATTCTAAAGTCAACCTGAAATTTGAACATGATCTGCCTGCCCTGGTTGGAGAATGTTATGAGGTTTATTTACTAATTATTAACGAGGAACTCAGTGCCATTAAAGACTTAAAAGTTGAAATATATACAGACGATGGCAATAGTGAAAGTAAGTGAAATATAAATTAATCATTTTATTTTTTATATTTAAATTGACTTAGGTATGGATAAATCGATATATCGAGATAGTCATCGGTATATCGATTATTTTGTAACCTGTTGTTATTCGATATATCGATAACTATACAGGTTGTTAACTGGACAGTTACTTATAGGGGAACAAAATGGCAACACTGACTATTGAGAACGCATGCACTTATAGGGTTTTCTGCAGACTCGTCCGGTCGCGTCGTCTATTGACGAGCGGGCCGAGGTTGCCATATTTCAACCAAAAACCTCTTGCCGCGAGTAATAAACAAATTACCAACCTGTATATAGTTATAGATATATATCATAAACAATTCCATCACCCCATTCTCATCTCTAGTTGTTAGGTCAGTCTGTCTGTTAAGGCAGATAATTTATGGAACCACTTACATTCAGACAGAATGTCTGATATTTATTTACTTAATCAATGATTGTGTTTGACCCTTGACAAACCTATCATCAATTTTTATTAAAAAATAATAGGTACGCCCATGGATTTTCCGAGAGGGCATTCTAATAAAAGCACGGTGACAAAAGAGACCAAAAACATTTATTTCATAATGTTTGTTCCAACCGGACGAGAGAACCGTCCTAGAACGGTAATTTCCTATCAGTCAATTCATTTGTTAATCTTGACAAACGATCAAACTTTTCAAACAGTAAGTGGGCGACTAGAAATTACCGTCCCAGGATCGGTTCTCGGCCCGGTTGGAACAAACGATATAAGATTACTGAATTTTTGTTTATTAAAATTTTTGTATTTTATATTAATAACTAGCAGACTCGACTACGCGTTGCTGTGGCTGTGGTCAGTGATGAGCAACTACTTGGTATATTGAAATTTGGGTTAGGTGGTATTATTTGGGTTTGGGTTAGGGTTAAATACCCAAGTTTTTGCCCCGGTATATACCCAAAGTGTCAATAAATGGTATATTGAATTTGGTTAAATACCATTATGCCCGGTATATACCCAATCATACTCACGTTTTTATTTTAAGGTATTCTAACAAGTTTTAAAAACAATTTGTTGTTAAGTTAAAATTATTGAATTACTAATTTCGCTATTAAAAAATAGGGATTGATGGTAGAAGGGTGAAAATTTAGGGTTGTATATATTTTTTAATGACACATCATAAAAAAATAAATATAAAAAATTTTATCCCAAAAGTAAAAAACAAATTTGGGGTAGTCCACAATGATGGCACGGGGGTTAGAGTGAACGTGGGTGGAGGCTACTATCAGGAAAAATAGACGGGCTTTTTTTGGACTGACGCGAAAAAGTCTTTACAAGGTGCCACTACCATGCCAGTGTTGGCAAAACTACTGGATACGTGTGAATCTACCTTATGTCTGTATAATTAGTATAATGAAAAACGAATCATTTCTGATGCTAACATGATTGCAAAAATGTATCATGTGAATTATTTTTCTTTGGTGTAATAGAAATATTGAAAAATATACTATGTAGTGCTTTTTTAATTACTTACTTTGAAAGGTTTCAATATTTTTTAGCACAATTTTCATCATTACCCTCCATGCAGCCTGAAAAATTGCCAATAAATCTGCCAGTCAGTCAAACCCTAGAGAAGGATTCAAGGATTAGGACCAGTATATTTATAAGAGCTTTTAATCCAGAAATATGCAACATTCATGTAAAAATTATTTATACACTTGATAGTGATAAACCTGTTATCAGTATTAAAAACGAAATGATTATTTTGCCAGTAGTCCAGCCATTTGAAATAACAACTACCTATGTGTCGGTATTGATGCAAGAAATACATAAGTTTTACGCAGGTGAAGAATTTGGTGTTATGCCACTGATAAAATTTCTATCGCCTTGGCCGATTCATATTGAGAATACTTCTATCGAATTTGTATGTATACATACATAGAGCAAACTCCAAATAAAATGGTCACTCACGTCATCAAAGTTTGTCGTCTTTTTACAGTACTATGCTATATTGCTTCGTTTTGATTATAATAATAATTCAAAACTTACTCGTTTTCGTGCTAAACCTGCTTATAGAGCCACAGGTCATACTCGATTATTCCAGCAACTATTTTTTAAATTCCATAATATTCGGAGTGTATATAGCCATCTTACGTTATTATCAACTAATTTTTTCTTTTATGTATAAATCTGCTATTACAGTTTGATTGCAATACATATCTCTTTTCCCTCGAAGTTTATCAAAGAATACCTAGAGAAGCTGAACAAATTAGGCAAAGAAAATAAAGTCCTACTACTCTGAGTGCCCGCTGACCAAGAGATAGAAGACGATGAAAAAGCAAACGATCTAGCTGGAAAAGGAGCGGGAGGAACACTCCACTAACTGGACCAGAACCGTTCTGTTTTCCAAGCGGAAACCAACTTAAAGCTGAACTGAAGAAGGACTCCATCCGTAAGCTGGAATGGAAATCCTCCAACGGTCTAAGTTCCTAATCCTCCACTTGAAATGAGAGAAAAATGAAAGACTTTCCTTGATTTATGTAAGAACAATTTTCGGATTGTCAAAGGGGTTTCTAACAGGACACTGTCTCCTCAACGAACACCTCAGTAGATTGAAGCTGAGAAACAACAGCGAATGCAGATTCTATGGGGAAAATGGGGAAACACCAGAACACCTTATCACCGAGTGCGCCGAGACGACAACCGTTCGTGCCATAAACTTTGGTGCGGCTGATGTCGAAGATGAAGAGCTGGCCTCTTTAGATGCTGGCCGTCTCAGATCCTGACCTTTGTCAAAGCCCTGAGACTGTATGATGAGTTATAATCCGTTATAACTGAAGGAAGGGGAACACACAATAGATCTGTAAAGCCGCGGTGATTAACATTCTACATTCTAGGGTTGGTCGCTTCTTATTTTATCGAGAGATGTCGCTACGCCCGCTAGCGGTACGTGATAATATTATTTATGCGTTGGCAACGTTTGTGTAAGTTTATTTGGGGTTTGCTATGGAAGTTAAATTAAGAATATCTATTAATGAGTTTATATATTGTATGTAAAGTTACCGCCCCTAAAATCACTTGAAACAGAGCTGCATAGTCAAATAGCAGGACTGTCATTTAATAAAGAGGAGATTAGTTCTGAATTCTATCTGGCCTTATCCGAAAAATCATCTGACCAAAACATGGTTGTGGGAGAATATATAGTTACTTGGAAAAGGTATTAGTGCTTATAAAAACGGCTTTGGTTTTGGCTCCATGTCCGTTATTATTATTTTTTGTATTTTTATCCATATTCTTTTTTAGAGAAAATGGAGCCAGTGTTATTACCCGGGTACCATTACATGGCTATCACTGTGACTGGATTCCCCTTAATTTAAAAATATCGGCTCCTGCTCATGGATTTGTCCGAACTCCTGTGATCATTCAGTACCATCTTATAAATCATTCTTCACATCTAGTTCAGCTGGATGTAGGAATGGAGGCTAGTGATGGGTTTATGTTTTCAGGATATAGACAGGTTAGTTGGAATATCATTAAGCAGTAATTTTTGCATTTGGCAGGATTTAAAAGGAGAGTGGTAATAATTTATTTGCTGTTAAAAATATTTTTAAAAAATTCAGCTAAATTAACGTACCGGTTGATAGCGAAATTGATGCAGAAACCACAATTTGGTTACTTTCTATTGAATGGGTTTAAAACTTGGGGTTAAAATATGGCTAGACAAAAGTCAGATTTTTGATTATAAAAACAAATGAATATTATACAATATGATGATTCCAGTAACTGTTGTCCGTCTGACCAAAACGTTGGTCATTGTGACTATAAAAACATATACATAGGTACCTATACATAAAATGACAGGATTAAAATGACAGACAACTGCCACTAATTTTATATATTCTTATGCTTCATTCAGAACCTCGAAATTTTTGTTTATGATGATTCAGAATGTTAAACAAAATACTGTTAAAATTAATAGAATATCCCAGCAGCAGCTTCCAGTTGTAGTCATTTGTGGCCATTGTGACTATAAATAAACTTTTTATTAATAACCACAATTTCTCTGGACAGATGACAATTAAAAACGAAAATTATATTACCCGGACATGCGCAATATGCGTTTTCTATTATGATTAATGGAAAAAGTTACAAGTTTTTAACTTTTCTTCGCCAATTTGTCATAATTCGCTTATTACAGAATTTATTCAAAAATTGGCGCGTTTCGAAGTTTTATATATCCCAAAGGTCTTTTTGCAAATTTTATTTTTGAACACTGTAAAATTCTTTTTGTGTCCAGAAAGTTCTTCACAATATCCGGGATTTTCTAGTAATGTCTAAGAGATGGCGCTCCAAAAAGTGTCCTGTATTAGCGATGTTCGAAACACTCTCTCAAAATAACAATACTATAGATAAAGGAAATAAATTTAGATTGGAATGCCCGTCAAAATATATAATTGTTTGGGGTCGCGACCGTTGTACGCGATTTGGCGCTGCTATAGCGGTTGCTAAGAACAACCGCAAACAAGAACAGAAATAATTTTCTCTTGCCAAAGTCAGAATCTCTCATTGAAAAAATACCGAAAAGTGTTTAAAGCGTCCATTTTCAAAGTAATTATTGCGATCTTGTGAGTTTAATTTAAATTTTATTCACTCAAACCCGTGATAATTGTGAAACAGTAACATTAAAAACTTAAAAAGCTGTGTGAACTGTGAACTGCAAAAACCATAGTGGGTCGTGACATAACGTCGTCGGTTTCCAATGTTTCATAGGTATTTCATACATGTCCTTATATAAAATAAAGTTTCTTATATGCAACATGCTGTATTTTATTTAAAAAATTAAAAGAAAATAATAATAAATTTGAATAAATAATATTTGGCGACATAATTCCGGAAAAAGCCGGACCGCTCCGAAATTATCAAAAGCTTTGGAGAGCGACCGTTTTCAGAATAGCGCCAAATAGTATTTACATTGCCCTTATGGGCACTTTCCAATCTAAACTTGTTTCTTTTATCTATGAACAATAAATACTATTCGTTTAAAAAATATATAGATATAACATAGTATAATATATATATCTAATTAATCTTATTATTAAAAAAATGCATTAATTTTAGTCTTCAGTATCAGTGTTGCCAAATTCAACTAAAACTCTCCAGTACAATCTTTACCCGCTTATAGCTGGCAGTGTTGCTTTACCACGAATTCTCTTGACCATACCGGAGAACAGTACAGATGGGCCAGCTTTAAGACAGGATCAATTGAACCAATTAATAGAAAGAACTATTCCGCAATATATCTATGTTATAGTATGTAGTGCTCAGAAATTATTTTATGTACCGATGTATAAATGGATTTTCTGTGTTTTAGCCTCAAATTAAAGGAAACGCAGAGTTGCCAGAGATTATTGAGTCACGAGAGATGGTCCTTTCAAGTTAATCATAAGTATTCCACATTGTTTTTTTATATATAAATATAATATGTTAGAAAAATATTTTTGTTTTTGATATAAGTCTCCTATAAGGTGTATATGAAAAGTAATATATTTATGCTTCTTGCATATTTGCTCTAAACTAAGTATGTATGTTTATAAAAGTCTATCTATATACCAGGTGCGTCTCAAAAGTTCACCCCTATAACTTTTCTATTTTTTCAGATAAAAAATCGGGATTTGGTATATTAGTATATGACATAAATTTGGATTTATTGACGTATTCAGTTGTTTTGGGGCACTTCCTGTTTCACCGGAAATGACTACAACTTTGTATTTTTAAATGGCACTCTTGGTATTTTGTTACTTTATTTGATTGAAAATGACACTCTGAAATGAAGGACATATCATATGTCAACTTTTGACATTTTCGAATATGGTTTATTTGAAATTGCGATTCATAACGACGATTTGACTCGAAATACCAAGTGTGTGGTACCAAATTATTCGTAAAAAATGCTTTTTCCAAATATGCTAATGAGCCACTTTGTTTCATTTGAAAAAAATGAGATATGATTAAAAATATGATTTGGGCATCTTTTAAGTGACCAGGTCAAGACACTAGGACGATCAAATCTATTTTTCCAAGGCTCCTTGATTAAAAATTAGTGTTTTTAACACAACCATGGCACTCTAGATTGAAATTTAAAATTGAGTTTTGCTTTAAGCGAAAATATCAAAAATTGACATATGATATGTCATTCTATCCAGAGTGTCATTTTCTATCGAATAAAGTAAAAAAATACCGAGCGTGCCATTTAAAAATCAAAACTTGTAGTCATTTCCGATGAAACAGGAAGTGACCGAAAACAATTAAATACGTCAATCAATCCTAATTCATTTCATATACTAACATACCAAACCTCGATTTTTTATCTAAAAAAATAAAGTTATAGGGGTGAGCCATTTTTGAGACGCACTCGGTTTAATATCGAATTTAGTTTTATTTTCACAAGTTTGCAATGTCCTCTCGCAATTGTATTTTTTGGATTACCTGTCACCAGGCGTTAAGAAAGGAGCGAATCCAGGGTATGAAAAATATTTAAAAAGTAAGTAAATTTAAAGCCCGGAACTACCTATAATCAGTGTAAGTTTCAAAAAATGTTTTTTTTTCTAAAAATTCCCACGAGTTCTCAAATCCAATATAGCGTCGTCAACATAATACAGATATTATGTTTTTTAACTGTAAATTAAAAAAAAAATTCAACCAAATTTCGAAAAAAAAACGGCTTCCAGTTGGCTTTGAAATGATGATCGTTAACATTCCCCATTTAATTTTACATATATGTATGGGTAAAATGACAGCGATCTTCAATTCCAAGGCATCGCTGATATCGTTTTTTTTTTCGATCGTATGGGATTTGCAAAAAAATTTTTTTTGTCAATTTTCAGATTTCAACTTTTGAATTCAAGTGACAGCCGTTGCGGTCATATATTCTCATGTGGGACAGAGGACAGACTACCAAGTATGTCCAATGACAGAGTATATGACAGTGACAGTTGTGGCCTGTCATATTAATTCAATGGTACTACAATTAATTCTTGGGCAGTTTTCAATATTTTTAAAAGTGCCTGTATATTTTCTGTCATTTTTTGTATGTTGTATGTATGACTTTATGGATTCTATTTATATTAATTATATTAAATTTAGCTATTATCAATTTTTATCTATTCATCCTCTATAAATATTTATACATAAAAGTCATAATCTAATCCGAATGTACGAGGAATGTACGTTTGAAATTCGAAAATACATTTCAAATAAAATACTAATATCTTGTAGTTTTTGCATATGTTTATGACTATAATTTATATTTTATGGATTTTTGAGTAAATATTAATTTTAGGGATATTTATAATTATATAAAAATATTTTATTAGCCACAAAGCAGTTATCGAGGCCGTTTCACCAACACATTAAATTAGAGGTTTTATGTGTGTAGCTGTAAAACTGTTAATATTATCTTACTTTTAGTAACATTCTTGGCTCTGTTGTGGTAGAGAGTTCCTAAATAATTATTCGTTTATTATTAAACTTTTATATTATCTTATTTCGTAAAAAAGAGAAAAGAGGGTTTGTGTTCTAAATTAGGTAGGGCGTGAGATAATTTAATAAGTGAAGTATTATTTAACTTTTGTATATTAAGACCAAACAGTAGTTTTTCATACTTTTAGCAAATAGCTTTTCACTCTTTCAAAGATTTTCTAGAAATAACGAAAATATACAAGGTATAAAGAATAAATAGGAAAAAAAATCAGGAAGTGATTCGTCTTTAAAAAATAGGAGAATTTATTTGTATAAAAATATAAAGCTTTTCAATTTGGTGTTTCTCTACAAAGTGATCTGCTTATACGGGGTTCTGCAATAGTGCGTCAAGCATCTACAGGGTCCGGCAATAGTGCGTCGGGCATCTGTTGCTCCTAGAATAAAAAAACTTGAGAATTTTGTTTTAGTGCAAACCTAAGGTATGTACCAGGATGTATTTCAGGAAAATATTTTAACTTCTATAGGGTGGCTCAAAAAAGTGTGAGCGGACCTGGATGATTTTTTTTAAACGGAACACCCTGTATATTATTGCATTTTTGGCTTCCTTTCAGATCACTTTACATAACCCTAAGATATAAATAAATATATTTCCATAGTTTCAGAGATATTAAAAAATAAATCAAAAATATATATTTTTCAGCCTTTCTTAAAAAAATTATTAAAAATACAAGAACTGTTCTGAAATCAAAACGATATTAGGTATTTACTTTAGATGGTCTGTTCTTACATTGCTATAAATATGGTAATCGTAATTCATACAGGATGTTCAATATTCTACGCCAAACTTTCTAAAATATAAAATATTTTTCTTTTGTTTTTTAAATGGAACACCCTGTATATTATTTTTTATTAGATGGAGAGTTTAAAAATGAACATTTTTTGTATTTAGAATATTTCAAAATTTTTAACGGTTTCGCAGATACACGCAGTATTATTTCATACGGCGCTTTCAATGCTAAAATACGAGAGAAAAATTATTGGGTGGCTTTGATAAAAATTTACCGTGGAAAATGCCATATGAAACATAAAACCGCAAATATCTGCGAAACCGTTAAAAATTTTGAAATACTCTAAATACAAAAAATGTTCATTTTTTAATTCTCCGTCTATTGAAAAAATAATATACATGGTGTTCCATTTAAAAAAAACGAAGAAAAATTATTTTATATTTTAGAAAGTTTCGCGTAGAATTTTGAACATCCTGTATAATTTACGATTTTCATATTTATAGCAAAGTAAGTACAGACCATCTAGAGTAAATACCTAATATAGTTTTGTTTTCAGAACAGTTCATGTATTTTTAATAATTTTTTTAAGAAGGGCTGAAAAAAATATATTTTCGATTTATTTTTTAATATCTCTGAAACTATCAAAATGTTTTTATTCATATCTTAGAGTTATGTAAAGTGATCGGAAAGGAAGCCTAAAATGTAATAATATACAGGGTGTTCCATTTAAAAAAAATCATCCAGGGCCACTCAGACTTTTTTGAGCCACTCTATAGAAGTTAAAATATTTTCCTGAAATACATCCTGGTACATACTTCAGGTATGTACTTAAACAAAATTCTCAAGTTGTTTATTCTAGGAGCTACAGATGCCCGACGCACTATTGCCGGACCCTGTATAATAAAGAACTTAGAGATTTCGATTAAGTGTAGACCTAAACTGGGACGAATTTCGTTACTAAATTTTGTTACAAATGGAGTCTTCCAGGTTCTTCAGTTCTGCTTTAAGTTGGTGCCCACTTGTGAATCAGAACGGTTCTGATCTAATTAGTGGAGTGTCACTCCTTTTCTATCTATATTTTTTTCTTTTTTATAACCTTCTGTCCTTGGTGGGCTGACTTTATTTTCTTTGCTTAATTTGTTTAGCTTCTCTAGGCATTTTTTGACCAACTTCGAATTGATGGTTACTGAGTTGATTACTCTTAAGGCTGCTTGACTATCGGATCAGATGTCTTGTTTCCGATAGTTCCTATCTACGATAAGTTCTTGCCGGTAAGTAGGTGCCCATTGGTTCGGAGTATTTTGTTTTCGGCCCAAATATTCCTATAATCCCCTGTTCCTTCTTGCATCTTCGGTATTTATCACGTTATCGTATGGTCTTTTAACTGCCGACCAAACATTTCTCTCTTCCAGTTCTTTTTATTGCTCAACTATAGTGAGGTGTTTCTCAAAGTTGTACATTCTTGGTATGCCATCCAAAAATTCCACAAACACAATAGTTACACATCATAACGTTCTGAAAAGATAATTAATGGTAAAATGGTAAACGTTTAAAATTTTTAAAATCATTTTACTTTGACTCACCTTGATGAAATATGTGCGGGCGGATTTTTTTTTAATAAACCGAAAATAAATCTTGCAAAAAATAAGTGCGTCTTACGTAGTTGATGCGATTTAGCCCTGAACATCTAAAATTATAAAAATACCGACCCATAGAAAATATTTCAGATGGAATCTTTTACATTTTGTCACCTAAGGTCGATTTAAATTTGAAAAAAAGGTGACCTTTTTATTTTGCAGCGGTGACAGTAAAACCAAAAATATTTTGAGTGTCTTCGAGTGGACGATGATAAAAAATATAATATTTTATTTTAATAGTAGCTCAAACGTCAGAGCGCCCACCATTTTAAAATATAAATAGAGCGTAACATCTAAAAAGACGCCAGCTAGTCCAGCTAAATGTCTGTTTTCTAACTTTCTTTTATTATTTTTTCCCAATCGACCCTGGCCCCAAGCTTTTAATTTTTTCGTTATCGTAACTTTTAGTATTATAGTATGATTATGAAACCGAGCAATTCCGGTTTAACTTTGATCGTAAAATTAGAACTATTAAAAGCACTGTTTAATTGGAAGAAGTGTTTTGGTATCTGGAAATTATTTTTATGAAAGCGAAGATTAATCTTAATTTGTTTGGATTTTTGTATTGCGGAAATAAGTATTTTTATACCA